AGAGGTTACTAAGTCGTTTGAAGTGAGTTCAGATCACGTTTTTAAAATGTAAAACACATGCAAATGTAGATTGCTTTTAATAGAAAATATTGCAACAATGCTTCTGTCATCGTGGTAGTAAATTCATGGAGGGCAGCTACTTTAGTTTCGTAGTGGTAGTAAATTGCCTAAAAGATCAACAAGAAATAACCACGAGTCAATCTTTCCATTAAAAGGGAACTAAAAGAGTAACAGAGATTGGTTAGATAAGAATATAATTTGCTAACTTTCTACCACTGAAAATTTAACATACGAAATCATATAAACCAAGGAATCCTTCAACAACAAAAAAAAGGGGATTTCACAACAGCGAAAAATTGCACCTCAAGTGAGACAAACCGCAAATTCATGAATCTGGAAGAAATATCATCCGATGTCTCTTTATGCCTCTCCTTCCACTCCTCGCACAAGTAACTAAATCAGAATAATGTTGTTATCAGAAAATTGCACTACCCAGCTTAAAACTTGAACATATTAGCTCCACACTTAATTTGAAAGGATCAGAATATGGAGCTAGAACATTTTCTTCAGCAAATAAGATAAAGAGAGCATGAGGAAAATATAATATCATCTCGGTGGCAAACGTAAATAGATGACGGATATGCAATGCTACCAAAATGAGAAGAGACAGAGATTAGAAGACGAAACCAAACAGGGTTGTAAGGGAGCTAACATACCTTTGGACTAGATTTTTAAGCCCTGCATGGCTCCCTTTTATAGAATCCATATGTAATATGCACGGTACTTTTTTCGAGTCATCCAAGTCTAGATCTGTAGAATGATACAACATAAATAATAAGAAATTGGATGATCATGACTTAGTAAGAAAATGAAGTGAAATGTGACATTACCTGTACGATTAGCCACTTCACCAGGGTGACATATGACTATTAAACTCCAGTGAAGGCTGTCATCAGAATTTAGCAATGTCAGATTTTGAACTCATATAAATATAACATATAGAGAAGTGCCTTATAGTTTTTCGTACTTGAAGTTCACCGGCACAAAAATGTAGTCCTTTCCAAACATGTCCACCTTCCTTGTCCACTTACGGACACGTAGGAAAGCAGCCTTTCCATCAGCTATACTTGATGGATCTTTGTCGAGATCAGCAAGTTTCCGGAAGAAAAAGCTGTTAAAGAAATGGAATCTATGTTTTTCCTCCGTTTGAATCTGATTCTTTAAATAACTGTAAATAATAGAAAAATACACCAAAAAGGTTAAATACGGTTCGCATCACATTAAGTTTACAGTATGACTGCAAGCACTGCATTAGTAAAATTGTGAGAAATAGTTCACAGCAAAACAGCAAACCCAAATATAGTTCACAGCAGCCCATGCCAGAGTATATGCATTGCATTAGAAGAATTAAATTTAAGAACTCACTTAATATAGAAGTCAATGATTGTGTCATTTACAAATGTCTCTGGCTGCAAGAGCTCAACATCTCTTTTGCAAATGGAAACAGCATCTGGGTCTCCTTTCGGATAGACAACATCCTCAAAAGGTTCATCAAAGCTGGAAAGACAACATAAAACTAGCAACTCAATATGAAATGCCACCTCTTAAAGAGCCATAAAGTACCAAGTAGTGATGTACTTTGGTAGATGTACTCCTGAAGTAAAACAGAAGACAAAATCTTAATACACAAAAATACAGCTCCCATAGAGCAGTTTCACCTTGGAAAATAACGCTTCTGTTGATTCAAGTTATACCCTGATACATCCACGTCATCCCTACAATAAAGAAACAGGACGAATTGGAACAAAAAGTCACAAAAGTGCCTAAAATGTAACCAACACTAAATATGAACAGTGTCAGTTTTCTTAAGATTTGGTCCAGTTTTCCCTCAAGAAGTCAAAAGTATTTCCTTTTATATGCAGATTGCTTTTCACTTAATGCTTTGTCTATTTTAAGCTTTAAAGGCTTCAAGTCGAATTTCAAGTTTAGATTCTCATAGGGTTATAACCAAATGAATCATACTCATAGTGTAGTTCACAATTTCCCAGATATCAGATATCTAGCAAATAATATTCATTATCAGAGCATGCAAATACAATTTCTAAATGAAAATGGGGAAAAAAAAAAGTAATTTTTAATTAGCACTTCATAATAATATAAGCTTACTCGAGGTCAGCATTCCACACAGCCGGGTATTTCACATGCAGGGAGTTTATCTTTTGTTGCTTCTCAGGCCAATTATGTTCTTTTACTGCAATCTTTAACTCCTCAATGTCTGGAAACCACATGAAGCAATATAATAAGTTAGAAGAGGGAACCCTTGTGTTGAAAAGAGTAGATGCTTAAAAAGACAGACTCTTCGTTTATGCAGAAATGAAATTAAATAAGACATCTCTCTCTTATAACTCTTAGCCACCATTAAACATGAACATACATGAAGCGGCTCCTACCATGACAATTAGAAAGTCACTATCTTCGGCAAACAAGCGATATCGCTAATATAGATCGATTTAAAGTATTGCATGTAAAGAAGAATTAAATATATCTCAGTGGGATATCAGTTCACTTTATATTATCCTTTCTATTTACTGTTTTTCTACTAACTTTGACCAAAATCGAATAAAAGCATGTACTAGTAGTATCATATGTGTATTATTTTTTCCTATAGTAAGATTAGTTAACCAGTAAACCTCTTAGCAGACAAACCCTATTTGATATTAAAGTCTACATACTTATTAAGAATAAGCAGGAATAAAAAAAGTAACTCAACCCAAACTATATGCAATGAGAAATAAGACGATTCGGAGAAAAAGTTTTAGTGACATGAAAAAGCATTTTCCAACAGTTTGAATGTTTGATATAGTAAATAAACCTTCAATGACCCCTACTCATATTTTTGTGCTATCAAGCTTTTAGGCAGTAGGATCCCGAATATATAGCACCCGAGAATGAAAAAGCCATAGTATCATGTGTCTAAGATGACTAACCACAAATCGTAATGGTAGGAATCAAACAAGTCCGCTTGTCACAGGAAGCATTCTATGATAACCTAAACGGCAGATATACAGAAGCCAAGGATACCTGTGATGTGTTGCATACCTTCATGGCATTTTTCATCCTTCAGTAGAACTCGAAGTCTGAGAATGATCAATCCAACCTACGAAATTGACCAGCAAAAATTGTAAAAGTGATAGACCATATGCCCGTAAAGTATCCTTCAATATAAAAAAGTACGACATAATGAATAACTCACATTTTGGTACCAATTGTATTGAATACTAACAATGTCTTCAACACCAAATTCACAAGAAAATGGCCCTTCTTCATTATTTGCGAGGAAACTCTTTATTTTGATGCCATTGCATGAAAAGATTACTAGAGATGCAGCACAATGCATATCCTTAAGTATAGCATACTCCGAAGTCATTACAACAGCGGTGCTTAGGTCAATCTGTGAAGTGGAAATCATTATCTTTTTGCAAAAAAGAATCACTATTATCTTTTGGCAACCACACGAGATGGCCTTAAAGGCCAAACAAATTCTGGCAGCATTTTTTTAGCCATTGGTTAAGAAACTAGAAAACTCATTACCTTTTCTACATCGCTGAAGTGTTCAGCCACCCAATCTTTCAGCGCATATAACATTGAAATCAATACACGGTCAGACATAGGAGGGCATCCAAGCATATTTAAAAGGAAATATAGAGAAAAGGTGTATCATGTACCTTCATCATCTTCTGAATCAGAATCTTGACTTAACGCAGATCGATCACTCAAGCTTTCATCAATAGCTGACATCATATCAATTTGCTCCTCCTGCAAATGTGAAGAGGTTAAAAATGCAAGGTAAGACTTTTAAAGTCTTTAGCATACATAAAATAAGTAATACAAGATAGATTAACATACACTGGATGAAGAATCTGAAAAGGGTGAGTTTAGCTGGCGTTGACTATATGACGAAGTTTCAGCGTAAAAACTACTTCTGCCTGGCTCGCAAGAGAAACTTTCTAATCCATGATCTACATCAGTTTCTTCTATGTGGTCTCCGGTATTCAAACCAAACATCAATCCATGGTTATCTTGATCTTCATCTGTTTCCTTTGCCAGGTCTTCAGTATTCAAACCAAACATCAATCCATGATTAACGTGATCGGCATCTGTTTCTTTTAAATGGTCACTGGTTTCCAAACGAAATGTGAGACTCGTTCTGGACTCCTCAGCTTCTGTTACAAAAGTCGGAGCATCTTCACATTGATGATCGTCTGACTCTACAGCAGTAGCAGGCTCTGCACAACTTGGACCTTCCATTTCTTCCTTCTGATCACTTTTTTCATTGCAGACTGGCAACAATTAACCATGTCTATAAGCATTCATATGTGATACAAATTATTTGCTTCTGGACAATATAGTACAAATCATTATAGTGCCTCCCAGAAATTATAGTATCCCAATAGCATTAGTATCATTATTTCTTACATACTCCAAAAACAAAGCAATGTTCATTCAACTATATACTAGAGTCCGGAAAACTAAAATAGATAGAAGAATTTACAGGTTAGCTTAGCTTCTCTCCGTTTAAAATCTCAACCCCAAAATTATTTTTCCAGAACTGAAACTGAAGCGAGAAATAGATATCACCATATGAAGTTTAAAGACGAAGAAGAGCAATAACTTACAGCTGTGGATGCGTTGGCGTTGCAGAACCGGAGAATTGCAAGGACTAGGGTTTGTGAATTTTTCCAATAACTTTCCAGCTGCAGGCTCAGGGAGCTCGTCCTCTTCTTTGAAATCGAAGACTTCCATGTTTTTCTTCATCGCTAGGGAAATCTGAGGATAAGCCTCACCGGTAAACGGAGAATCCAAGCCGGAGATCGGCGATCAGAAATCGAGGGGTCGAGTGAGAGAGAAGAGAGAGAGAGAACGTCAAAACAAAATAAGTCAACAACGAATGCCAGCGCGTCTGAAACTCACGCGCGGACGTAACTTTAGTACTTTACTCTATTTATACTAGTACTTAAATAATTTAATATTTTCATTACATAATTCCGCTTTGGAATGACAGATATACCCTTCTGTTAGCCGCGAGTTTAAAAATGGGAGACGTGAAAGCCATCGTCCTCTTGAACGTTCCAAGAGTTGAAGAAAATCACAAAAAAACTTAGCACAGAGAAGAGAGATTGAAGAAGTCATGGATGTTTCAGGAAGCTTGAATTGCGTTGTTGTGGCGGTAGATGGAAGCGAGGTGAGTATGGAAGCTCTGAGGTGGGCTCTAGACAACCTCAAGCTCTCATCGTCTTCTTCCGATTCATCATTCGTCGTCCTCCACGTCCAGCCGTCGCCTTCTGTCGCCGCTGGCGTGAGTCCCGGCACCATACCTTTCGGTGGTCCCAGTTGAGTCTCGTTACTACTAATTTTGTGATTGTTTGATGTATATATATGATCTCGACCATGTGGTGTTTGATGAATTAACTCTGGGAATTTTGCGATTAAGGTGGTCTTGAGGTTCCTGCTTTCACCGCTGCAATCGAGCAACACCAGAAGCGAATCACCGATACTATCCTCGAACACGCTAATCAGATTTGTGCTGAAAAATCTGTGAGTGGTGTGTTATTTCCCCTTTGAGATGGGATATTTTACCTCATAGTTCAGATCCAGTAGTGAGTTCTATAAGTTTGAATCTTTCTCTTTCACTGATTGATTAGAATCTGGAGAAATTACTTGTGTTATCTATAGAAGTGTATTGATGTGGGGATGGTGATTTATGAGCAAGTTGTGATGATTTACTCTCAGGTGAATGTGAAAACAAAAGTGGTTGTTGGGGATCCCAAGTATAAGATCTGCGAAGCTGTAGAAAATTTGCATGCTGATCTGCTTGTCATGGGTTCTCGGGCTTATGGCCGCATTAAGAGGTATCAATCTCTTCTTCCACTTATGTTGATACACTGATGAAAGCTACAAATCAAATTCCAAGCGTTTGGTCTTGGTTTCTATGCTGGACTAGTTGTTCCATACTGACTTCTGAGTATTGGTTTTCATGCTCATTAGCATCTTTGGCATGTCCATGAGTGAACTAGAATCTGTGTATGTTTCTTATGTGCCGTAGGTTAAAACTGGATGAGCTTTTTGGCCCACTAGTTAGAACCAGATTGGTCTAAGCGAGGCTTGAACAAATCCTGCTAAACTAGATGTAGTTTAAGTTTCTGCGTTTGCCACTGGTTATTTGGTTGGATGCATTAAGTCATCTCTTGCAACATGTATGATCTATGATGCAGAAAACTCTTAAGCAAACATCAAATGCTGAGAGAAATGGAACAGTACATCCTTTTCACTCTCATTAGAGATTGTTTTGCTTAATATGGATATCTACCTGGTTATTTCCTCCCCTCGATTAGCAGTAGAATAAATGAATAGATTTAATCTTTGAACTTGTCTGACATGGTTACAAGACCAAATAGGCAGAACTGTATTTTTTTAGGGGGCATTTCTCTGCTCACCTAGTAAATACTGCTTTGAGAAATCTTACAACAGGATGTTTTTGTTCTCAAATGAGTTAAATTTTATCTAGTGAGCAAATGCGAGTTTTAAATCCAAATTTTTTCTTACAACAGGATGTTTCTGGGAAGTGTAAGCAACTACTGCACCAACCATGCGCATTGCCCTGTTGTGATAATTAAACCAAAAGAGGATTCTTCGGCATAATCAGGTAAATAAGTATACCTGCTTGGAAATTATGTTGGACACTTCATTGGATTGTTCACGCTTTTATATTTTAGTAATGGTCATCAATCATAATTCATAACCCACATAATCTATTGTTCATGTCCAAACCAACCCAATAACTTTCTGTGATCTTGAGGAGCTTGTCAATAGTTTTGCCATTATAGCTGTAGCTAGTAGATTTTGTCAATGTCAAAGACCGCCTATAGCCTACTTCTCTCTATTGGTACAAGTAGCATCTATGACCGAGTTTCAAATCTCTTCATTTTTCAGTAGATATGTACATATGCAAAAGGATATCGAAGCCATCTTTTTAATTTTGTGAAGTTTTGTGAAGCTATGGAAGCAAAGCAAGAATTCACCAGCTTACATCCCAAAACGTTGGTGTGAATGTAAATTAATAAGAGCTACAGATAACTTGATTGGCTCAGTATATGTGTTGTATTCATATTCATCGTTATACTTTTTATGGTTGGGGATTGAATAATGTTGTTGCATCAAATCACTATGAAGGACATTTACAGAGCCAACTGGTTGTCAATGTAGGCTAACTCGCCCTCGTTAATTGGACCGCAAGCATTGAAAAGTAGTTGAGAGAAACAAAGAAATCGTGTAAGAAAAATCTGAACCGATCAAGCCTCGCCTAAAATGTCCAAGATTTTCTTGGGAATTTGGCCTGCCTTGCATAATTGAGTGATCATTTTCCGATATCACGTAAATCTTTGAAAGAAAACTTATCCAAATTGCTTGGAAATTTAATTGGATGTAGATGCAAATGTGTATTTTACTGTATGGACAAAAGGTAAAGGAAAGATAATGACAATATTCAGAAGATAAATATTTCAGAGGTCTCGTGAACGAACGATGAGAGTAAATGACGAAAGAGGAATCGTCGGTTTGTCACTGTCAACACGATAAGGGAGGCTCACGAGTCACGGACATAAAAATCAAAGACTGTTCTCTTTCATTAGAGTAATATAAGTAAGTGTTAAAAGTTAACATAAATACCCTACAAAATAAAATTTGCGAATCTTTAGAAACAAGACATATTACACCGATATATGGGTGTGAAATGTATATAGTGCACTTGTCCCAACCGAAAAGGAAAAGAAAGAAGAAACCAAATAACAACAGTCTGTTAGTTTGTCCTGATTTTGGCAACACAATTATTGGTTCGTTTGGTTTTATTTTTTTAATCACTATCCAAATCACACTTCACTTCACTTCACATGCAATATTCCTTTGGGCTCTTGACTGATTCACTGGCTACTTCCCACCACACTCCATGTCCCCTCGTGACTTCTCTCTTCTCTCAACCCTCAAAACTTACCCAGCTTAGGAATTGTATTCAAGATTTCCCTATCCCCTCAAATCAAAATAACAAGACGTGTATATAATAGAAAAATACTATACCATTTTTGATTTTCCTATGCAAAAGGATAACAGCTATTTGAAAATAGTATACCATTTTATCTTACACATGTAATGAAAATCTACGGAGTAGTAGTACTACTGCCAGATAGACCGGACCGGATCGCACCAATTATAAATCGAATTTGAGGGACATTTTCGCACTTTCAACATCTCTCTGGCCATATATAAACTATAAAGACCACAACATCACAGTCGAAGAACATTATCTAAATATCTACACAATCACATTATCCCAAAACCATGGCCTCCTCCAGTCTCCATTTCTTCTTCTTCTTCTTGACACTTCTCTTGCCGTTCACTCTCACAACCGCCACACGTGACACATGTGCGACAGCCGCTCCCGATGGCTCCCACGACCTCTCAATCATCCCCATTAATGCCAAATGCTCACCTTTCGCACACACTCACGTCTCTGCCTCCGTGATAGACACCGTCCTCCACATGGCCTCCTCAGACTCCCACCGGTTCACCTACCTCTCAAGCCTCGTCGCCGGAAAATCAAAACCAACCTCCGTCCCCGTCGCCTCCGGTAACCAGCTCCACATCGGAAACTACGTGGTCCGAGCCAGACTCGGCACTCCTCCACAGCTCATGTTCATGGTCCTAGACACAAGTAACGACGCCGTTTGGCTCCCTTGCTCCGGCTGCTCCGGCTGTTCCAACGCCTCAACCTCCTTCAATACGAACTCCTCCTCCACTTACTCAACCGTCTCTTGCTCAACCACACAATGCACCCAAGCACGTGGCCTCACGTGCCCATCCTCCACACCACAACCGTCCATCTGCTCTTTCAACCAATCCTACGGCGGAGATTCATCCTTCTCCGCCAATCTCGTCCAAGACACGCTGACGCTATCCCCTGACGTCATCCCAAATTTCTCCTTCGGCTGCATCAACTCTGCCTCAGGCAATTCTCTACCTCCACAAGGACTAATGGGCCTGGGACGCGGGCCCATGTCGTTGGTCTCTCAAACGACGTCACTTTACTCAGGAGTGTTCTCCTACTGCCTCCCTAGCTTCAGGTCATTCTACTTCTCCGGGTCGCTGAAACTGGGTCTCTTGGGTCAACCCAAATCCATCAGATACACTCCACTCCTCCGTAATCCTCGCCGTCCATCACTTTACTATGTCAATCTCACCGGAGTGAGTGTCGGTTCCGTCCAGGTGCCCGTTGACCCGGTGTATTTGACGTTTGACTCGAATTCCGGCGCCGGAACGATCATCGATTCCGGTACTGTTATCACCCGTTTTGCTCAACCCGTTTACGAGGCCATTAGAGACGAGTTTAGGAAGCAGGTAATTTCGTTAATATCACAATTAGCTACATACAGGGCCGGCCCAAACTATTTGAGTGCCTAAAGCAAAAAAAAATTTGGTCCAGTAACAAAAGCTGTTATAAAAAAGAAAATACAAGTTTTAACATGTATGGGATTCGAAACCGTGACCTGTACAACAAAAGACTTCAATCTAACCACTAGACCACAGTAACATTTTAAAAATTGATGCCCCTAAAACTACTTATAATTATTTGATGCCTAAAACCCTTGCTTCATGGGCCATACCCATGGGCCGGCCCTGGCTACATACATAATAGTATTTAATATAGCTCAAGAAATGGGAAATTAATTTAAATCTTGTTAATGAAGGTGAATGGGTCATTCTCAACATTGGGAGCGTTTGACACGTGTTTCTCGGCGGATAACGAGAATGTGACGCCAAAGATAACGCTGCACATGACGTCACTCGACTTGAAGCTGCCGATGGAGAATACGCTTATCCACAGCAGCGCGGGAACGCTGACGTGTCTATCCATGGCAGGGATACGGCAGAACGCGAACGCTGTTCTAAACGTGATCGCGAATCTCCAACAGCAGAACTTAAGGATCTTGTTTGACGTTCCTAATTCTCGCATAGGAATTGCTCCTGAGCCATGCAACTAAGAGGACATAAAAATGCTCTCTCCCTCTCTTTATTTTACGTTCTTTGTACGTTTGATTTGAACAAATCCCTTAGAAATTAAGGTGCTTGACCTTCTACATATACTTTGTATGTGCGGCTATCTTCACTACGCATAACATGTCCAGTAGTTTCATCTCTTGCTCCAGAGATTTCTTTTCTAAATTAGTTTCTCGGTAATTGATGATATTCAGTGACGAGATACAAAATGATATGAAGAAACTATAGTGCGAAAAGAGCATAAGCAAATACTGTGTGCAACCCCCTCTCTCTCTCTCTGTGCCAATGCAGAGACTTAATTAAGACTACAATCCTCTTTGCCATTCTTTTTAAGGGTTCAAAAACAGATGCCTCGAGCAGTAAATAGTTTACAGGTTCAATCCAACTGTTGCGCATGAGTTCCTAAGGAAGTGACAGAAATCTTACAGGACAGCAAAGCTTGCTAGAAACATTGCTGTGAGCATTCTCGAGCAGCAGCTACAACGATTGGAGGCAACAGTCACACTTTCTATTCCTGAAAGACAATATGCAAGAAATTCGTCAGTCACAGTGCAGAAAACTGACCACAACGTGCAACAATGAATTTGGTTACTTAGATTTCTTGAACAAGGAGCAAAATTAAAAGATAACTAAATACCTCCATGGGAGCAGAGTCATTTGTGGCCGGATCAGGAATTATCAGGCCAGCAGGAACCTGGCCAAACTTCAAAGCCTATATATCCACAAGCCAAAAAAAAAAGAAGACTGTCAAATCAATCAAAAGCAACATTATCAGGCACAAATTTGATATTTAAAAAAAAAAGCAAGGGACCTGTTCGAGTCTGGCAATTTCTTCTATCGTCTGAGAATTGATAATTGCAGCCTGGAACATCATGGAAATGAAATACATAAGTTACTATCAAACAAACAATCTTGACCTGCTTATTATAAAGACAACAAATCAGCAAATATGCTTGATTCTATACAATTTCCAGTTCCGCACCTTGATCGCTAATATTTGCTCCTGTGTTGGCGCCACCACTTTCGGAGTCTCTGGATTTTCTGCAGTTTCTGGCACTTTTTTAACCTCCTCCGGAGAAACCTTCTTAACTTCCTCTTCTGCTTCTTTGGATGAAAACAAAGCTGCAGCTTCAGCTCTCTCCTGTTGGAAACCAATATTAGCCCAATTGTTGTTAAAACTAATGAAATTTCTTATTTCAGCATACAGATATAACTGTGCACAAGAATCTAGAACAACGGAATATGTTATCTCACTCGAATCTAAGAAAAACGGCAAACCAATTTCTTGCTCTCAGATATTCTATTTTTCAGATGATATTAAGGGTAGCTCCCGGTGACTTGTAGCAAAAACAATAACTTTAACTGGGCATCTAGGGTAAACAAAAATGGACAGTTGATAAAGCATATGATAAGGTCCTTACCTTGGCTTTGATTTTTATGAAATCCAGTACTCGAAGTGATTTTAGCTTGTGAATCACATAAAGGCGATAATTTGGCTTTTTGGTGATATTATTATCCAACAAAGTAAGGTACTGCAGCTTGGGAATGGAGGCAAGGGGGTCAATCTCAACCAGATTCACAAGCCTGTTATTTGTAAGAACCAAAGAGTGAAGCTTCGGCAGGAATTCTGCAGATATACAACCATACGATAAATACAACACAGTTAATCAACAAAGAAAACAATGTGTTTGAATTTACATTTTATTACAACACGCACATAGATGTTACCTCCAAGGTTAGGATTAATCCGGGTGATACGATTGTTATTGATGAGCAAAGTTCCTAAGCGATTGAGGTAAGGAAAGTTTTCTAGCTTAACTATCTCATTATCAGAAAGATCAATCGTATCGAATTGGTCCTGTAAGCAAAGCAGCACAAGTTAATTAATCTACTTATCAAAATTAATTCAACAGAAGTAATAAAATACGAAGGAGATTCTGTAGCATATTAGAGCCTTAAACATCAAAATTACCATGGCCTAACACAAAATCTATAGGAGGACTTTCACAGAGAAGACTGGCTCTCAAAAGTACAGAATCCACAATATGAACAAAAGTACTATTACACGAAGCCACATATACTCCTAAAGAGCTAGATACAATTCAGCAATGTTTCTTTCAATGATTTTTCAAAATACTTGAATGCAGAAACCCAACAGGCCGACTTAAGAACATAGAAATACAACCGCATCTACAAATTCATTAGTTAACAGACAAAGAAGAAACGAAACTCGATAGAAGAAGAAAGTACCTCAGTAGCACCCAAGTTTTCGATTACAGGAATCTTGTTACCTGCACCCGGAAAACAAACGATTATCCAGAGCAGATGCGATTAGGGTTACAAAACCCTAAAAAATGCAATGGGAAAGAGAAGAAGTTAACCTCGTAGATCCAATTCTCGCTCCTTGATAGCATTGAAGAAGTGAGGACTTTTCCAGATCAAATCAGCTGTGAGCTTCACCATGATTCTACTAGGGTTTTACTGCTTCGAGCTCTCTGATGCTGTTTCGCATTCAGAGGAAAGAGAACAGTGGCCAAGCTGACATAAAAACGTAGCAAAAGGACCTTTGTCATTTAAATAAACGGCCCATTTAATTGGGCCCGTCTGTTAGGCCCATAAGTATATCCTGATATTTAGGATTTTGGAAATTAAAAAAAAAATGAACAATTAAAAATAAAAGGACTAGTGTACGATTGAATCTTTTCTTCTTCGTTGGTTCCAACCCTAATCTAGGGTTACTCTCTCTCTCGCTTCCTTCTGTTCTTCGTTCTTGCCGATTCCACGAGCATTAGCTTCAGAGAACTTGAATTGGAGTGCGTTTGGATCAAAAACAGCTTAGCGAAGATGAGGATTATGATTAAGGGAGGTGTTTGGAAGAACACCGAAGATGAGATTCTCAAGGCCGCCGTGATGAAGTATGGTAAGAACCAATGGGCTCGGATCTCGTCTCTTCTCGTTCGTAAGTCGGCTAAACAGTGTAAAGCTCGATGGTACGAGTGGCTCGATCCTTCTATCAAAAAGGTTAGTCGTGTTCGCGTTTTCCTTCTCTTAAATGTTAGTGTTCTATGAATTTTTATGGATCTGGTTTTGGGGGAATTTTGGCCTTTTAGGTGGTTTGTTAGCTTGTTACTAGGAGGTTTAGCTGTATAAATGTATTGATTTGTTTCTGGAAATTCGTACAAAGTGTAAGCAAAATGCTAGGAGTTTTGGAGTATTCGAAGGTTTTCTTATGTTGTTGAAATAGAAACTGAGTTTATTTTTATGATTTTAATTTAATGTAGACTGAATGGACCAGAGAAGAAGATGAGAAGCTTCTACATCTTGCTAAACTCCTGCCTACTCAGTGGAGAACTATTGCTCCTATTGTGGGCCGTACACCATCTCAATGCCTTGAGAGGTATGAGAAGCTCCTTGATGCAGCATGTACTAAGGACGAGAATTATGATGCAGCGGATGATCCGCGAAAATTACGACCTGGTGAGATTGATCCGAACCCAGAAGCAAAGCCTGCTCGTCCTGATCCGGTAGACATGGACGAAGACGAGAAAGAAATGCTTTCTGAAGCAAGAGCTAGATTGGCTAACACTAGGGGAAAGAAGGCTAAAAGAAAAGCTAGAGAAAAACAACTTGAGGAAGCTAGAAGGCTTGCTTCTCTGCAAAAAAGAAGAGAACTAAAAGCAGCTGGGATTGATGGAAGGCATAGGAAAAGAAAGAGAAAGGGAATCGACTATAATGCAGAAATTCCTTTTGAAAAGAGGGCACCTGCTGGATTTTATGATACTGCGGATGAAGATCGTCCTGCTGACCAAGTAAAATTTCCAACTACCATTGAAGAACTTGAAGGAAAAAGAAGAGCTGATGTAGAAGCACATTTACGCAAACAAGATGTTGCAAGGAATAAAATTGCTCAGAGACAGGATGCTCCAGCAGCTATATTGCAAGCAAACAAGCTGAATGATCCCGAAGCTGTTAGGAAGAGGTCAAAGCTGATGTTACCACCACCGCAGATTTCAGACCATGAGCTAGAAGAAATTGCTAAGATGGGCTACGCAAGTGACCTTCTTGCCGAGAATGAGGAGCTAACAGAAGGCAGTGCTGCTACTCGTGCACTTTTGGCAAATTACTCACAAACACCAAGGCAAGGAATGACACCCATGAGGACGCCTCAAAGAACTCCTGCTGGTAAAGGTGATGCTATTATGATGGAAGCAGAAAACCTGGCCAGATTAAGGGACTCCCAGACACCTTTGCTAGGAGGAGAAAATCCTGAGTTGCACCCTTCTGACTTCACTGGGGTCACTCCGAGAAAGAAGGAGATTCAAACGCCTAATCCAATGTTGACCCCTTCGATGACTCCTGGTGGTGCTGGTCTTACTCCAAGAATTGGCTTGACGCCATCAAGGGATGGGTCTTCTTTTTCTATGACACCCAAAGGGACTCCCTTCAGGGATGAACTTCACATTAATGAAGACATGGACATGCACGAAAGTGCAAAACTTGAGAGGCAGAGACGAGAGGAAGCTAGAAGGAGTTTACGCTCTGGTTTGACTGGGCTTCCTCAGCCAAAGAACGAGTACCAAATAGTTGCACAACCTCCTCCAGAGGACAATGAAGAGCCAGAAGAGAAAATTGAGGAAGACATGTCAGACAGGATAGCTAGGGAAAAGGCTGAGGAAGAAGCAAGACAACAGGCATTGCTTAAGAAGAGATCCAAGGTCTTGCAGAGAGATCTTCCTAGACCCCCAGCTGCTTCATTGGAAGTAATTAGGAACTCGTTGCTTTCAGCTGATGGAGACAAAAGTTCTGTTGTTCCTCCTACTCCGATTGAGGTTGCAGATAAAATGGTAAGAGAGGAGCTTCTACAGTTGCTGGAGCATGATAATGCAAAGTATCCGCTTGATGAGAAAGCTGAGAAGAAGAAAGGAGCCAAGAACCGTACCAACAGTTCTGCTTCTCAAGTTCTTGCAATTGACGATTTTGATGAAAATGAACTCCAAGAGGTATGTAGATGAATATATCTTCCCAATTTCAATTTACTTTTGGTTGAATTATTCGTTGGCCGGCCTCTTGACTCCTTAGTTCTCTCTTGTTTTAGGCTAAGATTGTTTGATTGATATTTTTGGCATGAATGTTTATCCCTCCTTAATTATCAACATCTGTAATTTGGTATATACTAGGGAGTTTCTAATGAAGGTTGTTGCCCCTGATCTTTGGTAGGCTGACAAAATGATAAAGGAGGAGGGGAAGTTTCTTTGTGTGTCAATGGGACATGAGGACAAGTCACTTGATGATTTCGTAGAAGCTCACAACACATGCGTGAACGATCTCATGTACTTCCCCACTCGAAGTGCTTACGAGCTCTCAAGTGTTGCTGGGAACGCGGACAAAGTTGCAGCATTGCAGGTGGAGATGGAAAATACAAGAAAAAAGATGGAGGAGGATGAGAAGAAGGCAGAACACATGAAGGCCAAGTATAAAACTTATACAAAGGGTCATGAGGTAATATATAGTCCAATTGCTATAATGTTAATTAAACTATATTTTGGTTGGTGTCATGTTTAACGGATTTGTTCATTTGACAGAGGAGGGCAGAGACCGTGTGGACCCAAATAGAGGCGACTTTGAAGCAGATTGAGATTGGTGGAACAGAAGTAGAGTGTTTCAATGCATTGAAGAGGCAAGAAGAGATGGCTGCATCTTTCAGGAAAAGGAATTTGCAAGAGGAAGTGATAAAGCAAAAGGAAACAGAGAGTAAACTGCAAACGCGCTATGGGAATGTGTTGGCAATGGTTGAAAAAGCAGAGGAGATAATGGTCGGGTTCCGAGCACAGGCATTGAAGAAACAAGAGGATGTGGAAGATTCTCACAAACTGAAAGAAGCTAAGGTTGCCACTGGAGAGGAAGAGGACGTAGCCATAGTCATGGAAGCTTCTGCATAAAAACTTGAGTTTTGTATTGCTTACAAGTTTTAAGGAGACGTAGCTTGACTTTGTATTGGTAAGTTTTTAATATGAGTCATGACTTTGTAAAAAGGTTATGATATATTCTCTGTTTGTATGCTTTGCAAGAGTCAAGAAATTTGAATGCTTCAGATCTGTTTGGTTCCGAATGTACAATCTAAAGTTTGTTTAATCCTCCTCTCTCATTCAATGCACAACTTTTTATCTTGGCTAGGATCGTATGGAATCATTCAATGCACAACTTTTATCCTTGTCAAGAGATCGTATGGAAGAGAAGGAAAAAGCTTGCATATCATTTAAATCCGATTTTCAATGTTTTTGGCATAAAGCCAAAATCAAAAATACAAGTCTTGTGTGTAAACTCATTATTAGAAAGCAACAAAAGATAACTAGAGAGTTTCAGCCCTCTCTTAAAAACTGATTAGGCTCTCAATTCTTCTACTCCACTACTTCAATTAGGGTGGGCTCATAGTCAGAGGGAGCCACAAATCCATGGAGGTTCATCACTGTTGCAGCTACATTTGCAAGCCCTGGTGTTTCCAGATCTTTACGGAACCTCACTCCTTTAGACAAGCCAGGACCTCCAATAGCAATCGGCACCTACAAACAATAGTTACAATTTCACATCAGATCTAGTCCAATGTTTTATGTTCTGGTAAATAACACAGATTACAGATATGGACTTACTGGCTTGAGTGTGTGAGAGGTTAGAATCTGAAGCTTCCCTTCCTTATCCAAAGCAGGCTTCCCAGATTTATCCCTCTTCACCATGTCCTCTGCGTTTCCATGATCAGCAGTCACAACATAAATTCCTTTCACTTGTTCGATTGCATCAAAAATCATCTGTAACAACCAAACGATTTGTGGGATACGTCACACTCTCACTCATATCATTAAGACTTGTCAATAAACGTATAAAACAATACCTTCACAGCAAGATCAGCAGCCTCGCATGCAACAACCGTGGCTTCAATATCACCTGTATGACCCACCATATCTCCATTTGGAATGTTAACTCGCACCTGAAAATCAATATCAAAACATAAGATGATGGCTGCTTATTTCATGAGATGTTTGATTATAAGATCATAAGACCATTCATCCACCTCACCTGATCAAACTTGCCACTAAGGATTGCATCCCTTGCCTTCTCACCAATTTCTAGAGCTTTCATCTTTGGTTGGACATTGAATGATATTCCACTGTCACTTGGGATTTCAACATACTCCTCCAATTTCTCGTTGAAATATCCAGATCGGTTTCCATTCCAGAAGAAGGTGACATGCCCAAATTTGACGGTCTCACTGTTTCAGACACATACATTAATGTATATGATCAGTTCAAGAGTGGTACACTATTGGAAAAAATGCAAAGAATATCATAGACCAATAATGAGCAAGCAACTGGAACTATTCTAAGCAAAGCATATAAACAATACTCAAATGAAACAGTGAGAAAAGAACAGAAGTTGAAATACCTGCAAGCAAAAGTACTGACGCCATTGTGAGCCAAATATTCACCAGAAGTTCTATCAATCTCCGGGGGAGAAACGAGGTAACGGCTAGGTAGCTTAAGCTCTCCATCATACTGCAGCATACCAGCATAACGAATCTTGGGGAACCTCACACGATCAAATTTGTCAAAATCTTCATACTCAAGTGCCTTAGCATGCATAACCATACGATCAGCCCTGAAGTTGAAGGTAACAACAGCATCACCGTCCACAATCGGACCAACTGGTTTCCCTGAATCATCAACAATGACAAAGGGAGGCAAATACTGGTCATTAGCACCAGGTTCTTTCCTCAAAGTCTTCACAGCTTCAACAGCGTTTTTGAATTTGTGAGGAGCTTCTCCAAGAACTTGAGCATCCCAACCTCTTTTAACAACTTCCCAATCATTCTCATATCGGTCCAAAGTCACATACATACGACCTCCACCAGATGCAATCTGAGCATCCACACCATTCTCACGTAATGTAACGAGATCGGCTTCAAGAGTTTCCACAAATCCAACACTAGAACCATCCAAAACATCACGACCATCAGTAAGAATATGGACTCTGATTCTCTTAGCACCACGTTCAGCAGATCCTTTAATCAACAACTGCACGAAACAACCAAGTTTTCAGAAATCGATAAGAAAACAATCAACAAGATATTTAGGGTAAAAAAAAAAAGATCAAATAAAAACCTGTAGCTGATCGAGACGAGAGTGGACTCCACCGTCACTGAGAAGTCCAACAAGATGCAAAGTATTTGTCTCGAAAGATTCAGAAACGTATTTGAAACCTTCACCTTGAAAGATTTTGCCAGAAGCAAGAGCTTGGTCACAAAGCTTAGCACCTTGAGCGAAGATACGACCAGCACCAAGAGCATTATGACCAACCTCACTGTTTCCCATATCATCTTCACTGGGAAGTCCAACAGCAGTACCGTGAGCTTTGATCAACGTCCAAGTATCAGGAGCTCCCTATAGAGAAACAAAAGTAAGTTCGATGAAGAAGAAAACGCAACAAAGGAAGCAACATACATGCTTAAGAGAATCCATGGCTGGAGTTGGAGCGTTGTGGATACAGTTGTACTGATCAGGAGCAGATTCACCCCAACCATCTAGGACGATTAAGGCGATGGTTTTGCCCTTGGGTAGTTTGGGATGGTCATCGAGCTTCCAGGCGGAGGAGGTAGCCATAGCTGAGATTTTTGAGATGCAATCGAAGAATAAACTGAAAGCAGATCTGAGAAAAGTGAAGGTTGGTGTCAAGGAAGAGGCGGGTTTTAAAAAGAGGCGTTTTTGCAATATGGGCCCATCAATTGGGCCACTTGTCTCTCACGTAAATATAAAATTCTTATTGGTTCCGAATATTCGTTTTCCTTCTTTTTCTTACATTATGATGATTCATGCCATTTTGTTGCTTATATGTTTTAGGAAAAAAAAAAAAAAAAAAGAACACTGCGACATGTATAATTTATTTTTACTCTTGTTCTATTTCTACCTTCATTACTTCCACTTTTTAATAATTAAAATATAGAAATATTGCTTTACTTCCATTTTATTAGAGCTCATAATAAATGTCCAATCGCCTTATTAAATTTTACTTGGTTTACAAGGAATTCGGAAGAGTATGATGAACCGGCATTGTTTATTGGTTCATAAATACACCAAAAATATCTTACCTTATTCTTTGTTCCAAAAATAATCAACCTGTTTGGAGTTGTTACATCTAATCTACCTAAGCTTTCCAAACAAAAACCACGAACCCATTGTTTTTTTTTGGGATCCCACGAATCTCTTGTGGAAACAATCAACACAGTCCTAAATGAATGAATAATTTCTTATCAAGTTTGGGAACATATTAGCTTTGCGAATATATTATTTTATCTAAGAAGGACTTTATTTTTTTAATAGTTTTGTGTGTGTGTTTCTCATGAATCATGATAAAATACAGGTAAGAAACATCTAATGGATTAGAAATAGATTGTAGAAGAAAATAATTTGTACTAGAAAACACTGAAGGCGGAGTTCGTATTTGTATACTAATTGGCCCGACAACTACCAACACCGACATATGTGCTTTCGGCAAGTTTTGATTTGGTGATATACTGATATATCATTCCAAAATTTCAATTATTTTAGTGTCTTCTTGATTCACTGATTAAACATTTTATATATATACCATTTAGTTCGTGGAGTGTTTTAGGTATTAAATTCCTTATGCAAATTTGTATATTTAAATAAAATTTCGATTTATGCACACGTTTGGTACTTGTTCAATTGAAACATTTTTTCTAACTAGACACGCCAATAAATAATAAGTTGGTTTTAAAATTTTACAAAACAAAAAGGTTCAGATTTTTTAATATTTTGCAACAAAAAGATTTTCCAAGTCTCCGCTCTCTTTGTCGGAGTATCAACTGTTGCAACGATTCTGTACTATCCTGGGTATAATTCCTTCAACCACTGGACTGCTCGAATTGCATTGTGGTTTATCGTTGTCGTGGGAAGCCTGAAGGTAGTTTGTGATTGCATCATGTTTCCCGGACGCTAGCTGCCTCTCCTCTATTCACACATAGCTTTGTTTTTAAATATTTAAAGACAGTTTCTTTTCTTAATTATGCTAAAAAAGACTTGTTTTGTTGTTATCATGTTTATGATGCGAGTTGGTGAACTCTTGATGAATCATGTTTATGCAATTTCTTAAATTTTGTTGCCATGTTCAGGGCCGGCCCAGACCTAAAGCCTAGCAAGCAGATGCTTTAGGCAGCAAATCTTATATGTATTTTAAAAGGCATCAAAATTATAAAAGTGTCTTGTAGTCTAGTGGTATTTAGGACGTCTAAAGGTAGTTGGGCGTGGGTTCGATCCTTGGCAACCGAAGATTTTAACATTTTTTTATTTTTGGTTATTGTAAATGGGCATCAAATTTTGTTGGGCTTTAGGCATCATGAATCTTTGGGCCGGCCCTGGCCATGTTCTATTGATTTCTATTATTTCTTACAACAACATTTATGGAACGTGGTGCTTGATGAATCAAGTTCGCGTAGATCATGATGGAATTTGTTTACCGAGAATCATGAATCAACATTTCCTTGTCCTTCTTACATTTCTTTGATATACTGATATATCATTCCAAAATTTCAATTATTTTAGTGTCTTCTTGATTCACTGATTAAACATTTTATATATAAAACCATTTAGTTCGTGGAGTGTTTTAGGTATTAAATCCGCCCTTGAAAATTGTGGAACCAAGCACTAATTGTGAATCATGTTTATGAAGTGATGACAAGTGAAACAGAGAATCGTCCTCCTCGTCTATGCCTAATGTGAAGATGTCCACGCAATAAGCTTAGACTATCCCATAAAAAAAAAACACACATAGTTAATTAGTTAAGTCTTTTCAGACTGAGAAGCAAGAGAGAAAGAATCTCTTGATAACAAAACCAATGAACCCAAACGAAGACACTCCAGCAGCAGCAGCAGTATATTTGATCTTGTCCTTGTCCAGTTTAACTTGGAGACCGGACAAAGTCAATTCCACATTCTTGACCCGTTCCTCGAGGACATGACAACCATCGGTAACTGCTTTATTCCTCTCCAAGGAAACCTCCTCGAGCTTAGACTTCAACCAGTCTAGCTTGAAGCCTACTTTCGTCAGCTCAGACAGTTGGTTTTGAGCGTTGGTTAGTTCAGCCGCAGACAAGCTCTGTGGAGACTTGCTCAGTGTCTCGATGAGGCAGAAGAAGAGAGTCAAGTACACTGACCTCAGCTCCTCGTACTTTGGCACGAAATCTACTTCAAAGTCTGGGTGCCGACTTAAAATATGGGTCCATGAAAGAGCCTGCCAAAAGATTTTGATTAGGTTCAACCAGATTCACAAGACGGAGATGGTTGTTATAAATGGGAAACCGAACTTACTTGAGAAGCAAGGATCTGGACACCATTGTATGGTAGTATATAATTCTCGGTTGATTGTCCTTGATGAACAACTTCGACAACTTCAAGGTAGACTTGAATGGTTAGTTTGTTGTTGTCGTCGTCTTCTAGAAGCTTGGCAAGAGGCAACATCTTCATTAAACCCCATTGTGGGGCCTCAGCGCAGAACAATGTGCATCTGCCGCCGTCTGTATATAATAGTGTATATATATATCGTCAACTCATGACTTTGATCTTCTTAATATCAATCAAATCAAATCAATGAGATCATCGGATACATATAAAAAGAGTAAAAAGAAGTTGATTACTAGTGGTTCTGCAGAGCTCTTTGCCGGATTGATTCAAAATAACGAAGAAACAGCGAACTCTCCTATGCCATCCAAGTCTCAATGATCTAAGATTCAAGACGCTCAGAAACAGAGACAAGTGATGATCATAACCAGGGTGGCCCTTGGGGTGAACAATAAGATACCTAAAGACAAAACCGTAAGTTCTTTTAGACAAAAGCCTAATGATAGGATGAGTCTTGTCGATTTTTACCATTCGCAGCCGCCGCTTGAGAAGGGCTCCGAACTTATCATATCATGGTTCCTGTCCGATAAGTTGTCTATCTCCCAACTGAAGCTCTTCTTCAATTCCGTACCCATCATGCCTCGGTTGTCGGAGGCGAAAGACAAAAAAAAAAACTTTACAGCTCCTAACAAATAGGGTTAAGTAAACATCCAAAAAAAACTTCATATTACGCAATTAACATTTTTTTCTAATTCTTTTTTTTGAAAAGGGATGTTGCAAAAATGCGGAATGTTTTTGCTGCTTTAGGTAATGGATATTAAATGATTTTAATGTTTTCGTTTATTATATATTTTTTTTAACACTAAGTTTTCATTCATTTTACACTATAATAAATATCAAATTTTATCTCTTTTAACTCTTTTCTCATAAGAGTTTGTTTTTGCAATCATCTAGTGTATTAGTATTAACCACATTTGATGCAAAAATTCAGCACTCTTTTATTAGAGGCTTTGTTTCTTGAAAAAGTCAAAGAAGCATGGAACAATGCAAGTTCAAACAAAAGAAAACAATTTCATCAAACAAGTAGAAGAAGATGATGAAGGAGAAAACAGAAAACGACTGTAACAGAGCTGATAACAGCAGAGGAAGACGAAGAGGAATGAGCAGAAGCAGATTTTGGCAGCCTCGGGAAGTCATCTGGAGAAGGCATTACACATTCATCACCATTGAACAAGATTCTCCTTGGGAAAGCCCAACCTTCTCTAAATGTGAAATTTCCCATATCTTTCTTTAGCAATAACTCTGTTTGCACATTCCCAATCTTTCCTTCTTGAAGCAAAACATCATTGTAAAACTGGACTCCCCAAAACATCCCTGTGTCGTCTGAAACCGTACACCAATAAAGTAATTATCTTAAGGAAACTATGGTCTGGTTTTTAAGAATTTACTTACTGATGCCGTTTTGATATGGTGTCAAAGATTTGTAGTTAAAGCTAAAGACTTGTTGGACGCTTTTCAAGTTTGGATGAAGCACAACTAAGTTCCAATTAGTGTAATTCTTCATTGTGTTGAAATTTGTTGCTGTGATCTTAACCCTCCAATACTCTCTATAGTTCACTTTCACATGCCAGTGGATGCGGATGGGACACATATGATCGGAACACTTCACCACAGGAGATACTTCCTCCTCTGGATCATGTTTCTGTTCAAGATATGGCGGCAACTCTCCATCCCTGAACATTCAAATGTTACATCTATATATATCCAAAAAACAGTGAAAGGGTTTTTTAGAAGAGTGAATTACTTGACACAAGGGGAACTAGAGCAGCCGCAGCTACAGGTAGGACAAGGAACGATGTTTTGGTAGTAGAAGGCAGAGAGTGAAACACAGCATTTTGGAGATTGTGATGACCGAAACTGCGAGTATACACACACTGCCTCCCATGTTGCTGCACTCAACACCAAATATCTTATGTTAAGTAACTCAAGAAAACTATCTTTAACCAGTTTCTTCATCTTATATCATTTTGGTTACCTAGAGCTTGTGTTTTGCGACGGCCCTTGTCTGTGCTGAACTTAGTCGGGGTCACGGATGTAGCATTGTCGCAGCTATAACCCGGGACCCCTATATCGAAATTGTAAGGGATATAGAACTCTTCAGGGCCATCAGGAGAGCTTCCAACTACCATTTGAAAAGCAGAGACGTGATTGGCGTGGTCCTGAGACATGGAAGTCAAGACGCCACCACGGCAACAATTGGCAACCTGAACGTTGAGAGAAGCTCCGGGAAGAAGGTCGACGATGGTTGGTCGCTGGAGACAGCAGTGAGGGAGGTTTCCGCTGGAGGCAAAGGCAGAGCAATTACCTTGCTCCGTCGTCTCAGCTCCTTTCATTTCCCATATCACTTCATTGTTGAGCCAATGCCAACTAAGCTTCCACCCGGGCTTTTCCACGTGTCGGTACTCTTGCATGTTCTCTAATGTTACTAGTACCTGCAACATTACATTTTGAATTAATGTTAGGAGTAGCTTTCATTTTTAGTTAAAATCACTAAGATTATACTTAACAATATAATAAATTTGAATCATCATTGAACAAGGGCCACATGTGTCAAAAGAACAAAAAAAAAATCAGATTTTACAAGTTATAACAGAAGATGATATTGACAAAATCAACTTTGCAGGAAACAAAACAAACTTTTGAGTAAACTTGTTCGTCTCAAGCTTAAGATTCGGATACTTTTTAGTTATTTTTATTTTGTTATATCTTTTTAAGTTTTTTTTTTAATCATAAACCCAAATTCTTCCAAGAACAAAAAAAAAAAAAACCCCAGATTATCTGAGGTTCATGCGGGTCCCATAATCAGACACAGTAATAAAAATTAAAAAAGCTTATGCAGAGGAAAAAACACAAGCTAAGAGAACAAAAGAAGAAGAGTTACGTGGTGTTGGCCAGGTGATGATAAAAGAAGATCCCATTTGATGATGATTTTCCCGAACGGATCCAAAGGATCGTATCCATCTGCAACCATTTTATCACTAATAATCATAAACCCTACTAACCATAATCAAATTTACGTTTTATGATAAGAAATAGAAAAGGAGTTTAAAAGACTTACGTGTGTGTGATGAGATTGTGAATAGAATGACAGTAACGACGAACGACAGGTTTAGCATTGCACCCATTTTCTCTTACAGACGATGAACAAACAAAAAGAAGAGAAACTAGTGACGTCGGATTTTCAGATTCCGATGAAAATGAATCAAAACATTTTTTCTAAAACGTGAATTTTGATTTGGCTTTGGGAATAAGAAAGAGAAAGAGAGAGATAAAACATCTCAAGAGTCTTAAAGTGTGACGCCTCGGGTTTCCCTGTGTTAAGAGAGAGACAATTAAAGCAAAGAAGTCACACAGTGACTGTTAGTGTTTGCAACGAAGAGTTTTGCATTTGTGAACACAATAATATCAACACTCCTTACTCTTTTTCTTTCTATTTTTGGTTTTTTTTACGTACTTTTATTCTTTATTATCAAGGCTAATAGCTGTAAAATAAAATCGTTTTTACCTTATTTGTTCACTGATCTAATTCTTCAAGTTTCTGGTAGTTTAGTGGGTGGCAGCTATTATTGAATGATTCACGTACGTTATCTTCTTTGTGAGATGTTTATTGCTTTATGCTAAGTTTTTAATTTTTTTATGTTCTGTATTTTTTTATGGAATTCAATCCATAAGAGCATTAACAAACAAAAAAGCCAAATCATTTGATTTCACTAGGTTTTCAGATTAATTTTTGAGGTTAACAAAGATTTGGACATCGATATCACTACATCAGTGAATAATAAAAAGCAATTAATTGATTACGCAACCAGAAAATCGTATCGGTTTATTCTAGAGCGAGCAGTGCTCTAGCCTCCATCTCTTATGGCCTTGACTAAACTTTTTAACCACAAAAAGTAAGGCAATATGTAAATTACAAATTAGAGGTCAAAAATTATTAATATGAAATTAAAAACATGTTGACCAAGGGGAAATTAATTAAGAGAAATAAATAAAGATGAGAATTTAATTAGAGAAGAATGTGTCAGAAAGAGATGCGTTTTTCATGAGCGTCAACACCAAAAAGCTCTTTTCACGCCTTCTGTTATTAACATAGAGACGAAATATAATTAATACTAATATGCCGTTATAAAGAATTAACGGTCTTTATTCACAATGAAAAGCATAACGATTATCTTTCGATTCTATTTTACTTGCTCAGTTTTTAGAAAAATTCAACATCTATCAATTAACTATTCAACTGTTTTAGAAAAAAACTGCAGGGATGGCTTCCATAATCACATTAGTATTTAAATAGTAAACGAAAGTGTTGATTACAATCATTACATTATAAGACTACTACGAACAGATACTACGAACAGATAAACGATTTATTAGTCTAACCATTATTTTCTATGCATTTCAAATTGTCACATTAGGTTTATACTTTATCTATACTAAATCAAAGCACATCATAAGTATTGATTTGACTGCATAGAAATTGATGTTCCGCGATGTTATTAACCAAATAATGTATTGCAGAATAGTTTTAATGGTAATAAGATTTTTGTGGGGGGGGGGTGCAGGTGCCAGAGAGTGATAGAGATGTTACAGGCTTGTTGTGAGAGATGCAATAACGAGTCAACACATTGTGGATCTGTAGCTGCTCTCTTGAAGCAAATCAAAAAGTAATAAACAAACGACTAAACCAAACAGTGGCATAAGAAGAGACTTGAAGGCACATTTTTTACTTATTCTGATATGAATGAAGATATCTTCTGTATATTTTTGGTCGTCAAGATAGCTGTGTAATTCTGTCACTTTTTTTTCTTTTCTTTTTGCTGAAAATATAAATGTTTTCTTATTTTCGAAAGAATCTGAATCAGTTGAGACTCTTAACAGAAACCAAAAGTTACTAATCCAAGAATAATAGCTCCTAAACCAACAAAATCCGAATCACAAACAAACTGAAACAAAGAAAAATATCTGAACACTCTCTCACAGATCATAAGCCCAAAAGATAAGATTTTTTCACCTCAGTAGTTGTTGTTGTTCTTTAGTTCTTATCTTCATTCTTTTTTGAGATTCTCGGAGATATGCTTCAGCTTTTCTACCTTTCAACAGTTCTCTGAAAACATTTTTCACAGTGGTTTCTCCTATACCATGATTCTCCTTCATGTATTTGATCATCTCAGGAAGAGTGTAGAAATTCTGACAGCAGAACAAGTAGCTATCTCTCTTATTCTCCTCTTCCTTGCTCAAAATCCGTGCACCTCTCACATTCTGCTGCACTTTTTGTGTTTTAGTAGTAGTAACACACTCTCCATCTGATATCTCCTCTGCCTCAAACAAGCTTCCAGAATTTGTTGTCATTCCTCTCTCATGCAAAAGCTGCAAGTGTACCTCTTGGGAGGGACGAGCACTTTGGGTCTTGACCTAGTTTAAGGGATGTATCGAAGGATAATTCTGTCACTTAACAAATAAAAAATGTTGACTGTTTTTAATTATATTGAGTTTTCCACGGACGGCAGAGCTTTCTGCAATAATATCCGCCGACCATCTCTCTCTCGAGAGAGGAACCATGTCAATCTCAATTCCCCTCAACACCACTCTACAATACTCGTCTTCTTCTTCTTCTTCTCTCCTACCTTCTTTCTCTCTCTCCTCTCCTATCACTTCAAGCGCTGTTTACGTTGCCGGAATTCGGCAGCGATGCCTCAGGATGGCCACTTCTTGCGTCTCCAACGCTCAGAAATCCGTCCTGAATGGTGCCACCGACGCCGTCTCTATCGCCGGGCGGGAGCAGATTCGTCTTGGTCTTCCTAGCAAGGGACGCATGGCCGCCGATTCGCTGGATCTTCTCAAGGTGAGTGTTTTGGGGAGTCCTTGTGTTTCCCTGGAGAATTCTGCTGGGAAATTTCCATGGAGATTTGGACACTGTTTCTGAGTTGTGGAAACTTCAATTTGTTCTGCTAATTGATGATTCTCACAATGCTCGCCATTTTTGAGAAGGAATCGTAGGGAGCTATAGTTTCAAGCTCAAGGTCTAGTCTTTCTACTATTTGAGCGAATGACTCTGCTGAAATATTAATTCCTGAACTTGCATTCATTTCGCTCCCTAGGCCAAGTTTGCTATATGAGTGTGTTATACTGTAATGGTTTTCTTTGTCTGTTTCATGTTCTTTTGCTTAAAGATCAAATACTTCGTGTTTCCGAGGTTTCATTTTTTGATCCTTTCATTTCTTAAATGATTTTTCACTCTCACTATTTCTTACCAACACACTGATTTGCAATCTCATAGCTCCTTACGCATCTTTTACTTTCTCCTTTCTCATCAAGGATTGCCAATTGTTTGTCAAACAAGTCAATCCACGCCAATATGTTGCTCAAATTCCTCAGGTATGTATGCATTTAGAGAAAGGCAAAAGCGTTTTCACTTATTGATTTATTATATTGTTTTTGTTTGGTCTTTCTCAAATAGTAATCTCATATTTCTTGTCCTCCAGTTACCAAATACTGAAGTTTGGTTTCAACGGCCAAAAGACATTGTCAGGAAGTTGCTCTCAGGAGATCTTGATTTAGGCATCGTTGGTCTTGACATTGTTGGTGAATTTGGTCAGGTATATGAGATCATACTCATGTATATTGATTAGCAGACACATGTTGAGATTCTAGGGTATCTTAGGTGCTGGTGGTAGTTATACTAATAGAGAGAAACAAGTCTAATCTTGTTATTCGTTCTTCTGTGATTTTCCTTGACATTGCTAAGCCATACTGTTTGCGTTAGCTTATATGACTTAGACTTGCCTTCGGAAGGCCCATTTTTGCATCAAGACTTAGAGATTTTTGAATTTTATTTTTAGGGAAATGAAGATCTTATCATTGTCCATGAAGCTCTCAACTTTGGAGATGTCATCTCTCCCTTGCGGTACGTTCAAATCTATTGTAGTTGTGGCTTATCATCAATACAGATGACTTCTTGATTGCTCTTTTCCTATTATTTCAGATACCCAACTATGGAATATTTGAGAATATAAAATCTCTGAAGGAGCTAGCACAAATGCCTCAATGGACCAAGGAAAGACCTTTACGAGTTGCTACAGGATTCACTTATGTATGATGAGTTACACAAGTGTTCCTTTGGTGCATTATTGTCCTTTAACCTTTCTTTCGGAAGGCAAGTTAATTGTTTTGGAATTTCTCTAACTTGTGTTTGCAGCTAGGCCCCAAATTTATGAAAGACAACGGTATAAAGCATGTGACTTTTTCAACTGCAGATGGAGCCCTAGAGGCAGCTCCTGCGGTGAGATTTACAATTTTTTCAAATCAGCCTTAGATTTCGAACTGTGTGCCCTTATTAGAATACTAAGCTTCCATAAGGACTAAAAAGGCTTGGATTTTGTATGAAAATGCCGAGCACATTAGATCTTTCTACAAGAGAGTTATCGTATTCTTGTGCTTATCTTTTTAGAGTTTATTCTTGCTGATATGAGATTAGTGTTCCATATTGTGAAAGTATGATAGATTATAGTAAGACAGAAAGAAGCTATTGTTGTGTGCAGTATTTGTTGACACATTTGCTCTTGATAATTAGATGGGGATAGCTGATGCCATTTTAGACCTTGTGAGCAGTGGGACAACCCTTAAAGAGAACAACTTAAAAGAGATTGAAGGAGGCGTTGTGCTGGAAAGTCAGGTAGGACATGAAGATTTTTGAAATTGATTACTGTTTCGCACATGGCAACCGGTGTTCCAGAATTTTTTTATTGTTTACTTACTATCAGGCTGCACTAGTGGCAAGCAGAAGGGCATTGACTGAGAGAAAAGGAGCACTAGAAACAGTGCATGAGATTCTCGAGAGATTAGAGGCTCATTTGAAGGCAAATGGGCAATTCACTGTATGTGCGTAGTAATTGTAACGTTTCTCCGTATCTTTACTTTTGCTTTCTTTCATCCTATGTTTTCACTCCAGGTGGTGGCAAACATGAGAGGAACGGATGCTGAGGAAGTGGCTGAACGTGTGAAATCCCAACCATCATTATCAGGATTGCAGGTAAAGTATGAGAACATTTGGGGCTCTCAATCCCCTAGTTACCCAAGAGTGTGTTTCAATGTATTTCCACTGTAGGTGATAGTTCAGACGATTGTGCTTATATTGTGATGTGCAGGGACCAACAATAAGTCCAGTTTACTGTAAACGAGATGGAAAAGTATCAATTGAGTACTATGCCATAGTGATATGTGTACCCAAAAAAGCTCTGTATGAGTCTGTGCAGCAACTGAGAGCGGTTAGTAATGATATCCATCGTTGCTTCAACCTCGCCCTTTTACTCTAAGATTGTCATTATTTAAGGGATTTACAAATACATGACATGTGATTGCAGGTGGGAGGAAGTGGGGTACTGGTTTCACCTCTAACGTACATTTTTGATGAGGAGACTCCCAGATGGAGTCAGCTTCTGAGTAAACTAGGCATGTGATACTGCTGCTCAGACATACGTTGGTTTAGTCAGATGCATTCGTAGGAAGAACTCTTTGGGTCAAACACTACAATGTTTTTTTTTTGTTTTATCTTTTTGGATCTTTTAGAAGAAAACCAGAGATCGTCTGTTGCGGAACAAAATATCTCTAAATATGAACTCAGTATCTCTCTCTATTCAGCTTCTGAACAAAAACCAATTTTGGTAACTCCTCTCCCACTGTTGCGGAAATGAAGTGAACTTAAATCTTCATGGAAACTCATATTTAACACGGGCAAGATACAGACCAGATGCAGGAGCCATGGGTTTGGCTGCACTCACTGTCTTCGCCTCCAGGATTCGTTCAACTGAAACAAATTCATAGATAACCCCAACGGAGCTTATAAACATTGTTCAATTCTAATCAAACCCACAACTGTAAACTCTCTAATGAAAGAGACAGTGACATACCGTCTGAGACCGTCAATTCTCCAGTGCCTACGCATTTCAGTGCTCCTACAATCAGTCGAACCTGCACAGCATAAATAGACTAGAAATCAACACACCACAAAGAGCATCCCAATTCGTCTCTTTCATTTTCAAATTAAATTGATATGTTTCTCATTCGAAGTTTCGCACACAACATAAACAGGACATGTGGACAACTATTACTATATGTATCAATCAAGAGACTACAGTTGATACACATGATTCACCAAGAGAGACCAATAAATAAAAATCAAACCTGGTGGTACAGAAATCCCCGGGAACGCGCTGTAACTACATAGCAGCGGTGCCGTCTCCTTCTACCAAAAGAATCACCATCTGTAGATCCCTCCACTTCTCCAACATTAGTAGTAACACCAGCAGTCTCAGACTTGGGTTGACTGGAACATGCGAGAGGATCTCCATTGTTTAAGTTACTCCACGCCCTTTCCGTGATAGATGGAAAATATGGAGTTGATGGTACTTCAGTGATATTGAGTTCATCTAAATATCTCATAGGTGACTTTGCCTGCATAACAACAATTCACCAAAAGATTTATCAGGTTTCCGGAAGAACATCAGTCTACACAAAAATAATTTCTTTATAGATACAGACGACAAGTTATCTTCCCTTTTCTGCAAATCACTGAGATGAAAGGATATGCATCTAAAAGAACCAAGACTAACTTGCGCATCTACTGACTACAGAAAAAAAACGAGAATTTACAAGAGTTATTTAATATGCTGTGATGGCTGAGAATACTAGAAAGGAACAAGCTATTGCCAAAAAAGGTTCATTTTACAGGAGAGATCAACCCGGTAGAGCTAACATCCAGTTAAACTTGGTCACAAACACAAACAAATATTTAAGGTCTACCATGCCACAAATAAGGTGCATTGATCAGGGATTTTATAAATGGGAATGGGGGAATACTCCAACCATTCAGAAAATTTCACACTGATCGTGTATCAATCAGTATGATATGAAGAAATGTTTAAACAAAAACATACAAAGAAATTTGACCTGGCAACCAGCTGCCCTGAAGGAGCTAAAATCATGATATCCAACAAGAACTCTGCATGCTTCCTGTGCACCAATCATTGACGATGTCGTTAGAGATCTCTTATTCTCACTGTGGTTAAGGACTTATCGTTTAAGGGGAATAAATTTTTTGGATCAGCGTTGATATTAAAGTCGACAATACAGTAGTTAGTTGGTGAACCTGCATAGACCGAGGATTTAGCTCCTCAGGAACATGCCAGCAACGGTCTTTTTCAAGGATTGATAATGGATCTGACCCCGCTAGCAAGCGGTAGAAATATCTACAGTGAGTGAAAAAATTCTCAATTTTTCAGTTGCAGGGAACATACTTTCGAAGCATTACCTAGTACTCCTACAATACTATCAGCACACATATGGAGCATTAAAATCTCTATTACAACTGAATCTTGGCTTCTCTCATGAGTGATGGATAGAGAATACCTACGTGCGCTCCTGGGCCTTATATCGGGCATGATAATTACTTGGGACACACCGAACATCAATCACCATCACATCACCATCTTTTCTCTGCTTAATAACAATATAAGGATTTGAATGAGATATTGAATCGTAGATAGGTTAAAGTAGGTGAAAGTAAGCACTCAGGAAAATACAGATTAGAGGAACTTAAACGAAATTGTCAACAGATCTTAGGTAACTTTTGTTAAGATCACTAGTTACATGATAAATTTGTGTGAGTACCCCTGGAATGAGAAGAAAAACTATTGTATCTAATAGTTATAATTTGAAAAACATTCAGATATTAACCTGTAAAAAATGGTTCACAGCTCTCTGGACCACACCAGGCTCATGAGGTGGTAACTGCATTTAAAATAGTGTCCAGTGAGAATGCATATATACATCTGTCCTTTAACTGTTTCCAAGAGCATTAAGCATATAAGATTACATATGTTTGTGAATGTACAGGTTGAAGAATCTAACCATATATCCATGTATAAACCAGACTACAAATGGAACACATGATATTCAAAACATTGTGGCTTGTGTGCTCCTCTCTCTTAATATTTTGTTAACATGAAGGTGTCAACCAATAATTCCAATCCTAAGCCACAAGATGAAAAAAAAGCAGAGGGTGCAAAAGAAATACCACTTCACCAGGCTTTCTTTTACTGATGCGTTCCACATCAACATGGCAAACATTTGATAGTGCATGCACTCCGGCATCCTAAAAAACGCTATATCAACATCAGCTAATATAAACAAAACAAAAAAGAGCATTTCATTGAAAAATATCTAATTCACCACTACTAACTTTCTATAGAAATCAATTTACTGCAAAGCATGGTCCTCATGAATCTATAGTGACAAAAGCAATCCAAACCTAAGTCGTTTCTTTAGACACAAATAAGAGTCGGATCATTTATATCGATGTAGGTTTTAGATTATAATTGCTCGAAATAAACCTAAAATTCTGAGCTCGCTGGCCAATAAACTTATGTAAGAAGCTCTTACCGTTCGACTTGAGCAGAAGATCTTCACTGGTTGGCCAATAAACTTATGAAAAGCATCCTGCAATGTATTGCAAACATGTATCAATTCAAACTTGAATCCTCCTTAAAAAAATTGTCAGCCAATATAAACTGAGGCCTCTATGGGACATCATTAGCTGTGAAGTCACTCAATGCCAGGCAAATCGTAAAAGACAGAGAAGTAGTCTTAGAAATTACAAACAGACAACAACCTGCAATACACCGACGACGGTGCGGTCCTTAGCTTGCTGTTGCGAACCAGAGAAACGAGTTCCGATGTACTCAATGGCAACCAAGTAACGCTGCACTCTAGGGTTTACTGGGTTCATGGACTCCGAGTCGGCCAATCCTTGTTGTTCCTCTGCTTCTTCTTCGTCACTGAATCCCTCGATTCTCGCAACCTTTGAGAGTCTCTCGAGTGATTCCTCACTAACTGTAGAATCGAGAGGATGCTTCAGATTATCGGACATTATCACTCACACAGATTTATGATTTCTCACCGTCTCAAGCTCAGTGCCAATGTAGAGGGTTTAAGAAAATGGAGGCGTTTGGATGCTCGTTTAATCTCGTCCTCGTTTCGGTTTCATTCAGTATTATGGATTAATTATTCACTAATGGATAAAGAATGATTCAACTATTTGTTGATGGGATGAGCTAGGCCCGTGCAGTAGTGCAACGCATGGGCGACTCGTGAAAGCCCAGATAGCAAGCTATCTTAGTGGGCTTTCTCCCTTAAAAAATAGAGTTAATATCGTGTGGACCGATGGCCCACATATCAGATATTAAACTGATAAGAACAGATACTACACTTGATCTTAGCCAAAAGGCCGAGAAAGGTATGAGTTGTAAGTGAGACCCAGCTTCTTTTTTATATCGTCACACTTCGGAGACGTTCTCTTCTACTTGTCGATGTGGGACAAAAACCAAAACATACAAAAGAGTAAATAACTATTTGCTTTACTCTGAATACAAAATGTGTTCGTTTCTTTCTAATCCCAGTTTCATGATTTGTTTACTTTACTCTAATTTCCTCATTGTATCTGAAAACTGATTATTGTATTGTTGAGATCGTGAAAATGAATCCTTAGGCTTAAAGAGATCTGAATATGAAATACAAACCAAACCAAACGCCCTAACAAAGGAAGAAAAAAAAGAACCTAATGATTCCTAAACTAACTAAAGCAATTCATGACTGAATAAAATAAAGAAGACGAGGAACTAAAGATTGAAGAATGTCATCTCATTTTGAATTGCCAGTGCCCTTCTTAGAAGCAGAGTAGCCTCTTATCGAGAGATTCTTGGTTCGATTGACAAGAGATTCTTGTGTTTGGCTACTGCTACTTCTGTTCCAATTATATCCTCTTTCTTGATGATTCATTCTCCTGTTTCCTTCCATCTCATACTGATCCAATAAACACAAAAGTCGGGATTTAGATAAAGATACAAAGTTGTATGTATATAGAGAAGAGTGGCCGGTTTTTACATCATAGTCTTTCTCTTTAAAGAGATCCATGCGAAGAGTGGCTGGTTTATGCTCCTTCTTCATTCGAAGAGACTTCTCTCGCTCTTCGTAGAAGTCCATGTCGTCTAACAAATATGTCACCGCAGAGTACTTCTTGAATATCGAAAGCATTTGGAGACCTTCTTTGAGTTTGATCTCGTGAGTATCCCTCGTATGAGTAACTGGCTTGTCCTCATTGTTGTCGAGGATGATATGGCGTAGTTCCCAGTTAGGGATATCTTTAACCACATGCCATTCAACTGGGAAAAAGCCGCTCCACTTATCAACCTGCCAGAAATCTAAATCCTTGTTGAAGTCCACATATCCAACCATCTCAGCTAATCCCACAAATTGTCTACTCGCATTCACCTGTATAAAGGACGGGTAAGACATCAAACAAGAGACTTACTAGACACCCTTAATTACAGAAGATAATAAGAGAGATCTCAAGCTCACTCACAGAGAAGAAGAGAAATATTGGACGTTTCTTGCCATCCTCGAGTGTTTTTGTTTCAGCATCGCGGAAAGCTGCATCGAGTTTCTTGTTTCCGTTGATAGTGCTTGACCACACAGAATATTTGATACTCTTGTGGACATCATCTTCACTGTAGGACTTGATTACGAAAAATTTGGCATCTTCATAGTCAGTCTGAAAGTCTGGGAGGTTATACATCTCTCTACGAAGAGCCAAGGCAAACGAATTGTTTTGCTTGAGTGATGATGTCTCAGAAGGAGGACGAGTCTTTGCATTGGCTCTCGGACCACATTTCAATTCAACCAAGTAGTCAGATTCTCCATTTCTCTCAGGTTTCTTATTATGAACTCTTTCATCCCGGAAACCATTATTTGAGTTTCCATTAATGTAACCAGAATATGGGGGACAGCTTGTCTTTTGATTGGAGAATTGTAAGTAGTGTCCTGCGGCTTCCTTTCCCTTCATAAAAGACATATAGAATCAATTTACATCAAACCTTTTCCATTAAGAGGAAACACTAAAAGTAAGATATTGGCATGCAAAATCTTGATTTCAACTATTTATACAGATGGGTAATGTACCTTAAATGGTGGTCTGAATGCATGTGGTTGTGTATTGGGAGGAAGTCTACCAGCACCATTGAAATTTCCAGGAGGCTTAGGAGCCGAAAAAGAAGTTTGAGACCAACAATTGTTTCTTTTTGCTCGATCTCCACGCAAAGTCGAAGCAGAATAGACATATGAGCTGTTTTTGTCACGGTAACTTCCCTATGAAAATGACCCAGCAAACATGATAGCATGTCAAGACAGAGACATTACATCAGATCTATAAAAGCCAATGGACAAAATCAAACCTTTAGAAAATCTGCAGCATGTGCCTGGCCATTGTTATCTGGCTGAGTAGAGACCACATTAGATCCTGCAAAACGCATCACAAGCAACAATCACTTGAGAAAATAGCTATAGATCATTAACTACTGAGCCATAGTAACTGATTATGCAAATAGAAAAAATAGAGGAAAGTCATGTTTCTTGTCTATCCAGGATAAAAAGAAACCAGCAGACTTATTAGGTGGTCGATAAGAACCAAAGCCTTTAGAATTTGTCTTACCATTAGTACATGCAGTGGGGGTGACAGTAACAGGCGAGGTACTCGACACTGTATCGGTACGATTAGCGTCATCTGTTGGAGGAGACTGAAAAGATTACCAAACTTTAGGTAAGCATTCTTTGCTAGCAGGAGATTAAGTATGTGGCTAATAAGATTGTAAATACCTCATCCTGTTTCTTTGATGTAGGATCTGGAGCTGGTACTGTTTGCGCAGAAGTAGCCTCAGCTAGAGTTATTGTTAAGGGGCAAACAGGAACTGGTATAACAAAGAAATGACTATTCTTGGGCAGCCTATTGTCCTGAAAGTTATATTCTACAACCTATGGCAGATTAAAGCTATAAAAGGATATCATAATCGTAAGTTTGAAAATGATCTCAAAGTTCAAGAAACGAAAGGAATGTGAGAATTACAAAAACAACAGTGTCGTTTCTCATCAAACAAACCCTAATGCTTGAGAAATATCCAAAAAACTACTAATGCAAAAGGACTCTGAAACCAACCACAAAAGCTTTGTCAAGTAAAGAAGTACAGAAACAGAACAAATAATGCGGAAGCATTAAAGGATACAATCCAGAGTGTTCTGTTCAGTGGCCATTACCAATAATCAAGATACACTGCAGCCATTGAAAGGGAACAAATAAAAAAGGTTAGTATGGAGAATCAAGTAATCTGTTTATCGTAGTCAACAATAAACAACTATTTCGAGGCATCACTTTCTCTTCATTAGAGCATAAAACAAAAGAAATAATTACTAACGTCCTCATAATGGTGTTATTTTGCACACAACAATCCGGCGGACTAAGAAAGTTCATTGGGATGTAAAAAGACAAATTTGCTATTGTGTTATACGCTTTGAGGTTAGAGAGGGATGTAAGAAAGGACAAAGTTTAGAATTTTCCCCATGATAAAGATTACAGAACTAAGGACCCTAACAGAACAACTTTATACGATTACTGAAGCAAAACCGATAATTCATTCCCATGATTTAACGTTACAAGAGCAAACATGACGCCGGGGAGTACTCAGTGGCAATTCAAAGACAAAAACTGTGAGTTCTAATATCTCTCTCTACTAGACAGAACACAACATTGGACAAATACTGTCAAAACATGCCCTTTTACTTCACCATAAGTTTCCAAAACAGAACACAATTTACAATGGAAACTAAAAGTTCCAATCTTAAGGAAAATAAACAGAGAATTCTGGAAAATAAACAATTAGGAGCATATGGGATTCAGAATTGTCCAAGAGCCAAACAAAACAATGATTAGTTGCAAAAAGAAATCCAGAGGACTAATAAAAAGCAAACCTGAGAAAACGGGTTTAGAGCCGCCGTTAAACCAAACAGGGGAAACCGCTTGAAGAGGATGTGTTTGAGTTATGTTTATGTATACTTTGGAACAGAAGTGGCAAGTTGCGACGACGACCAAACCGAACCCTCACAGAAAAAAGAGAAGCTTCCGACGGCTAAGATTATCTTATAAACTTTTCCACTCAGGAGGAAATCTGGACCGTTGGATTCCAATGTTCACGGTTTGGGCCTCAAAGGCCCGGTTAAGTTTAAGATTATAATTATCCATTATGTATTCAAGCAAACACCAACCAAAAAAAGGTCAATATAGTAGTACTGTACGTAACTCATTTGATGCCAGTGCCATTTGATATAAACCAGTTAACCATGTGCATACATGTATAGACGGACGAGATACATGTTGCAACAGACCTCGCAAAGTAAGCTACAAATTTGCCGATTATTCATATAGATAGAGTAAAAACTGAACAACAGAGCAGTTATGAATGACAGTAGCCAGTAGCTAGGTCTATTCTTTTTTTCCATTAGCTTTCGATTTTTTTTTTTTTTTTAATGAGAGTTTAGGGATTAGTGACGCTAGAAAAGTTATAGTCAAAAAGGAAGACAACAAAATTAAGAACTTTGACTAAAAAGTTCATTACTCTCACAAATTTATCTTTACGAAATCTAGTCTAAGTGCTATTTAATATTTCTAATATATGGATTGGTTCTACCTTCTAAATTGTCCCTAATTTAATCCCGATGCATGTGGTTTCTTCGTATCAGAGATATCTGGATCCGGATTTGTTAAAAAAGCAAAAAAGTAAAAACTCTTAAAGCTATATTTATAATATACAGTATATACTATTACTCTATACTCTGTCGTTTATAATTTAACTATATATCTGGTTGGACCGACGCATACGAGATTCTATTATATGACAGCATTCGGAAGGGCCTGCATTAGTTTCGTGGAAGACGAGATACTGCTTTCTTGTATGTATACCATTAACATGCACATGTATCTCCGGTTATATTTTGATTGAGTTTTGCTTTCTTAAAGAAAAAAAAAAACAATTATACAGTTATGTCCATCTCCGCACCTTCATAAATATAGCCAAATTTGTTGTATCCATCACTGAATCGGTCAGGTTGGAGAAACTTCTTTAGGACTTAACAAAAAGAGAAAGAAATAAAAGAAGAAATGGTTCAAATAAAGACAGCAAATGCAAAAGAAAAAGCTAAAGAGTGAATAGATGAAGAGCGGTCACATGACATGATGGCCTTTTTTTGTTTTTTTTTTTTTTTGTCATGAATGATCTGTGACAATGAGTCACAAAAGGCAACAGCCCCAATTCTCTTCTATTTTCTACATTTAAAATCATTCATACTTTTGAATTTTGCTTTGCTGTAAGTTCACCTAAGCCTCCACTATTCTCTAAATGCCAAATTTTATTTTAAATAATTAGGTCCCTAATTATTAAAACAAATTTTATTCACCAACTCCAGTTATAATAGCATATAATATAGTAACAATATATTATAGATGTATATCACAATTCACAATCAATTTGAAGAAAACATTTGTGTGGGTACCAAGAGTGTTTTCTATTGTTTTAACCTTAATATTACCAAACAAAACGCTATGTGAGTTTATACATTCGTCTCATGTGCATGGTTATAGTCTTATCGATAGGTCTGAGGTCTCCCCGCTTTTGCCGCAGCTAGTTAAGCTATTTTCCTTCCTTTGAATAATTGTTTTGCGTATAATTATTTTGTTTTGAGAAATTCACTCGATTGCGATAGATCTGGGCCATCATTGCCAACTAGATGCATGTGTTGAACTTTTTGGCATAATTTTCGAGTAGCTGAAAAATGCATTTGTTAGAGGTTTAGATTTTCACCTAACTTATAAGGTTTCAATAGAATTCAATTTAGTTTTGTTATATATACGATGATATCAAATGTTTAGTGTTAGAGCTAGTCTAGTAGTCTCAATTAATTATCCATAATGGTAGAAGGGATTCATATTGTTTTTTTTTTTTATGTTGTTAAACTCTCGGAAACTCCTAAATTTTCTTTGATGAAATATAAATTCGTAATAAGAATTAAAATTAAAATTATGATCACAAAAGTATCATGTTCGATATACATGGTAATTAAAAATGTTATTGATGTTGTTATATCACGGCAGATCTATACATATATAGTTATGAATTATGATCAGTGCCTCATTGTTCATAACGGAACATAAAAAAATCTAGCAATCAAAGACAATTGTGTCCACAAAATTCAACACCTTTATTTTTCGAAAGTAGAATCTCTTTAACAATATGTGAGTTATTTTCCGGGTTAATTAAATTTCAATAAATTAAAGTAGGCCATTTTCACACAAAAATAAAAACTGTTTTTACTGATTGATTTTCTTGAGTGTGCTATCTATTTATGGCCTCAAATTTCTGAACGTGCAAATAAAGAAAATATTAGTTTTTGTACTAATTCTATTAATTAAGAACTTTAGGTTGCAGACGTCAAAGAAAACAAGAACTTTAGGTTTGCATTATTATTGACATTAATCAACTTATGGAATATTAAAATCAAAGTTTTCTCGTAACGTAGATGAATTAGGTATGTTCATGCAATGTACGTAGGATTACATTAAAATCTGTTAAAATCAAATGTATAATTACCGTATACAAACTAAAGTGGCATGGGTTTAGGTGCAAATTATTATGCATCATTGTTTTCTTAATTAGGATAACTAATTGAAATCTTACTGTGATAATTAATTCACAAAACTAAGGGTAATTATAGGTTTTATAAAAGCAGCCAATAGGTTCTCTTTGTTGTTCTTTTCTGATAACACGTAGACCCCATCTTTCAATTATTATTGTGAAATAACAACAAAAAGATGTACACTATAGCTAGTAAACACAACAAAACTTGCATAGCAATTTCTTAAAGTAGACACACTAGACAACGAATACAGTCCGTCTAGGATATACTGTGTTTATTACATACAAAAAGATATATTTATTATAAACGAAAGAAAAAGAAACAGTTGATATAGCTATTTTTCTTTACATTTGCCAATTATACCTACTAATATTCGTATACAACTCAACTTCAAAAGGGTTAACGAATCAACAAGATTATTATGTAGAAATTATTAATTAGGGTCGTCTATTAAAGTTCTAAATCCTGAAGTTGTCAGCAAAAGACAGTGAAGGTCGTGAAGGGGATGAGATCATAGGAATAAAGGACCAAGATTTATATGTCTGTTCCTACTACTTAGGGACCATTACCACACTAATTCTCTGTTAATTCTCCTTTTTATATATACTTTATCTACACATACTATAAAAAAACATTTATTGATATAAATAAATCACAACTCTTTGTAACTATATATATACAACTCATTATCAACATAGAACAGAGTGTGTTTTTGTTTCTTCTTCTTTGCTCTGCTTTTCTCTTCATTCACATAAAAACAAAGGAATAATAAACGAAAACAATGTCGTTGGTTGCGTGAATATATCTCAATTCCTTTCTTTATTTTCGTAGATCATCGAATTTTCCGAGAATCATTTTTTACTTGATTCTTGATCAAGAGTCAGAGTTTTTCTGATAAAAGACTCTATACTGTGCTTCTCTACGTTATTGAAAGCAAAAGAGAGGAAGAAGAACAATCTGAAGGAGTTCAGGCTCTTGATTCTTCTTTCTCCAGCTAGATCTTCGATCTGAATTCTCCAAAGAGATAAGACACATCGATTTCAAATCAAGAAAAGGCTCAAATTTACATGCCACAAGGAGAAAAATGAACAAGTCAAGCTCGTGGAGCATATACAGTCCCAGAGATGGAGAGAGTGAAGGGCCATGGAGATCGTCAACGTCGATGAATGCAATCTCATTTGGGTTTGTAGCGACGGCGATACTCATCTCCATGTTCTTGATCATGGCCATATTCGAGCATCTCTTTAGGCCTGAGAATTCTTCATTTGATTCACCACATCAGATCAGACAGAGACAGAGAGATGGGTCCAGTCAGTTCCAGAAACTTGCTGATCAAGCATCAATGGTAAGCACAAAAACAATTAAAGTTATTAAAGCATTTCTCAAAAGAATTGTTGTCCTTTTTATAAAGCCGAGCCGCATTAACTTGCCACTGTTGAGTTAGTTTTTCCTTTGTTTTCTGCAAAAAAAAATTGCTTTTCTTTTCGGTGCAAAAACCTTTGAAAAGTGGAAAACATTCGTCAAAATTAATAGAAAAATAAACCAACTTTGGAAAGTGAAAAGCAAGACCCAACTTGTAATATGTTCTTTGTTTTCTTATAGAATTTTTCTTTGTCATATAGATTAAGTCGCGTTTAACCACATGTGTATCATGGCACATTCACCGTTTTCGGATGTTTAACACAAGAATGTTTTTTGAAAAAATTCAATATATTTTCTCCCCAAAAAGTAGGAAAGTAAACTTGAGACCCAAAGTCATAACTTGTTTTGAAGTTAATTATGAGTGTAACGATGGCAGGTTCCGGTGAATACGGTGGTGGATGTATCGGTAGTGATGCCAGGGGAGAAGTTGCCGTCGCACATAGCTTTGCCGGCTCCGTTACCTTGTCGGAGAGAAGGCATTCATTGGCCTCTCCACCTCTAAATATTACTAGCTAGTAACCTTCTTCTTCTGTAATTTTTATTTATTTATTTCTGACTCATTCAGTAGATTAGTATTCTATTCGTAATATGTTTCAGTATGCATTCCCGCTACGTGATTGATCGGCCAAAAATATTTCCTTTATAGATACATATGTTATTTTATAGATATAACTCATTGTACATTTAAGATTACTACACTTTTGTACATATGCTAGATTTTTAATTAGCATTCTATGGCTATAACTAACCAATTAGGGATAAATCACTTTTAGAGCAGAGTTTTTAATAGCTTAAAAAGTTAAAAGATACTCTGTTTATCCAATCAAGTTCCATTACTAAGAAAGATATTTCAATCCCACTAAGAACACTATACTAGGTTCAAGTGTAGTGTTCATGAGTACGTGTAGTGTTGAGTACGACAAAGAATAATGATTTACGACTTGTGATTCTTCACATGAATTATCAACAGTTAATTCCAAATGTAATAAACATATATATGGGACCAAAGTTCAAAACTTTTTATATGGTTTCTACACATGTGAAATAAAATTAAAGATGATTTACAAAGAGGATTCTTGATCTTATTTAGTATGGTGCAATATCATCATCATATATTTTTACATTACAATTTTATTGAAAGGATTTAAAAGATAAAGAGTATGATTTCTATCAAAATTTTCTTTTCCAACTTTAGAATAGTATAAAAAAAATAAAATAAAATGGGCCGAGAATGAAGCCCATTATTAACAGTGGGCGGATTTATAAGGCCGAGACAAAAAGGCACCTTTCCTCTATCAACCGTCGCGAAGAAGCTAAGGAAAGCGACTCAAAGATTCAAAATTCGAACTGCAGAGAGAAAGAGAAAGAGAAAGGAGGCTATGGCGACGAAGAATTTGAAGGGTTTCTACAAGCAGACTAAAAGCAATATCACCGGAGGTATCTCCAAGTCCAAGCCTTCTTCACGGAAAGTCACTCCCAAACACGCGGCGGCTCAAGGTTCTGATGTTATCCAGCCCGCCGCATTGATTTCACACGGCTCCCTCGATCTCAATGGTACGGCTTTGTAGTACCTTATTAGGGTTTTCTATCTGTTGATGATCTGATTCCTTAATTGATCATTGTCGAAATCTAGGGTTTAATTCCAATCCCCATATGAGAGATTTAGGGTCCAATCGAAACTTAGCATTGTATCATAGCATTTTTTTCAGTTGACTTGGTGTGATTTTCTTCTGACTTATAACATTTTGTGGTATGTGTTGTGTTTTATTATTAACAGAGGATTATGACAAGGAGGAGGAGATGCTTAGACAATTTGACATGAACATCGCTTATGGTCCTTGCTTGGGTATGACCAGACTTGATCGATGGGAGCGTGCGCTGCGTCTTGGGATGAATCCTCCTAATGAAATCGAGAAGCTTTTGAAAACTGGGAAAGTTCAGCAAGATTGTCTGTGGCAAGGTCGTGTCTAGATGATCTTTAATCTTTTATCTATGATGCCCTTGTATGATCCAGTATGCCTTTTATGGATTTTGGTTGGGATGTTTGGTTCAGCCTCTGGCTGGATCCACACATGTAGTGTCCTCCATGTTTCTAGTCTCAAGTGATAATGTTAAAACCTTGGTAATGGAATGCATCTTCTTTGTTCATTGAAGCTTCAGTTACTTGTATAATCTCATTATCACACTCTACAAAAATATGGTGTCATGTAATTACAAGAACAGTAAAGTTACAAGATCTAAACTTTCTCTGAGTTACCAAATGAAGCTGAATCATTATATAATCCAGGGACCTGTAGGCATAGCAGAAAACAGAAGACACAATCCAGTATAACGCCATACAATCTGGGAAGCTTGAGTCACACTGGTCTCCGATAGAACAAGATTCTGCAGGGTTGGTTCCACCTCCTGTGACTATCTCTTCTTTGGCATTGGCTCAAGTACTTCAAACGAGTATAATTTTCTGTGAGAGAAAGAGATCGATTCTGGGGAGCTTAGGATGCGGCGCGGAGCACAACGCAGGGGATGGTTGCTTCTCATAATGGTCACTGATAATTTAGGATTTGGTAGAGACGTTAAATAGATGCCCTTCAATGTCTGGGACGAAACCTTTATCTACCATTTCTTCTTTAACTATCTCATAGGTTATTCGGTTCGGGACTAGACCTTTCTCCAACATCTCATTCAAAAGCATGTTTGCATCCTCCAACTTTCCCTTTTGAGAATATCCTTGTAGAAGCACATTATATGATGCTACATTCATCCGCAACCGTCTTTCTTTCTCCATCTGTGTCCTCATGTTCGTTGCTGCCTTCAGATTTCCTTCCTTACAGTAGCCTTTCATCATAATGTTATATGTCAGATGTCTCGGTTTCAGACCCATCTTTGACATTTCTTTCAAAAGCATTGCCGCTTTTCTAGATTCACCTCTGCTGCAATAACCCTCCATTAGTATGTGAAATGTCACAAGGTCAGGAAGTCCTTTATTAGTCAATTGATCAAAAAGCTTCTTAGCTGCTTCTATGTTACCATTCCTACATAGACCAGCAATCAAGCAATTATAAGTTCCAACATCTGGTACAATCCCTTCTCGTTCCATCTCTTCTTTCAGTGCAAACCCATCATCGATTTTACCTAACTTACAATACGCATCGATAAGCATGTTATACATTCTAGTAGTGGGACGAGTTCCTTGGCCTTTTACTGAGTCAAACATATCAAGAGCTTCCTTCATCATACCGTTCTTGCAAAACCCATTTATAAGAGAGTGGTAAGTAATTAAGTTAGGCTGCACACCTGCACTGACCATCTTATCGCGCATACCAATAGCCTCGTTTATCTTACCTCCATTGCACAAACCATTTATCAATGAATTATAAGTGATCACATTCGGTATCACGTCTTGATCCAGCATCTCTTTAAACACCTTCAAACTACCCGGAAGGTTGTCATCTTTCCAGAACCCATCAATCAGTATATTGAATGTAGTCAAGTTCGGTGACACTTCATTCTCCACCATTTCCTTCAAAACCGCGTCTGCTTTGTACATTTTCCCATTTCCCCCAAGCTTACAATACCCATCTATGAGAGTGTTGTAACTAACTACATTTGGAGAATACCCATACACTTTCATGTCCTCCATAACATCCCTAGCTTTATTCATTTTCCCAGTTTTGCACAACGCGTTGATCACAACATTGAAAGTGAACACATTTGGTTGAATCTTCCTCCTAATCATCTCCTTATACAGATATTCAACATCCGCAGACCGATTCTGCTTCAACAACGCAACCATCAAAGGCTTACAAGACATAGCCGACAACTTATACCCATAATAACCTGAACGCTTAAACGCCTCAAATCCTAACTCGAATCTCGAATTATTCGCATAAGCCAATACCAACATATCAGCTATAATCGAATTGACACAAACATTGTCACACATTGAAATTGCATGGAAAATCGAGTGAACCTGATGATCAGATCCATTCCTCACAAACCCATCAAGGAAAGATCGGATCTTAGAGTACCTTTTCGCATTCGCGAGAGAATGCAAGAGCTTAAATGTGAGCTCTAACGAAACAGAGATGTCACGGTTCTTCACTAACCAGGTATAGTACCTGAGGCACAAATCTGGATTAAGCTCAGAACTTATCAACTGTCGAAACAGCTCGTTAGGATTTATGTCTTTCACATGAAATCCAAGCTTTGACCAGTGCTGCTTCTCTATGAGATCAGCGATGACAGCTACATCAAATCTGGGTGGGCAAGGGCTTCCGGTGATGGTAGCTAAAGAAGAAGCGAGTCTTCTTAAACCCGAAGCTTGTTTTATGAAATTCGAGATTTTTCTACTTACGGCGAAGGATTTGGGGAACATTGATTCGAGATGGAGAGGAAAGACTTGGGATTTTGAATTTTAGGGTTTGGGAAATTTGCACCCATTCGAATCTCTCTTTCGTTTTTACCTCAAAGGCTCAAACTTTACAAATTTTCAGATTTTTCTTTGTCGAATTTTACGAAACTACCACTGAAATATCTGGAGAAACAAACAACAACGTTTTATAAATGGACCCAAAATTAAGTTTAAAAAGAAGTTTGAATAATCTCTTAAATGATCAGAGTGTACTGTTTCCTCAAAGTCCAACACTTGTGCTTGGAAGTGGATTTGAGGGGTTTAACCCTGCATTGCTTATCTAGACACAAATTATGTAAACAAAAATGTTATTTTGAATCATCACTTAATAGATTGGAGTGACTTTTAAGTTTCGGTTTCTTGGTTTACAAGCCGTTACAACAAAATTGCTTCTCATCACTCTTCTTTCGTCGCCACTTGTTTCTGGCGAAGCGCTCTCCAACCAATATCATGCCTAAAGAAACCTCCAGGCCAGTTGATCTGTTGAACCGCCGAATACGCTCTTTCACGCGCCTCTTCCAAGTCATTACCTTTCGCCGTCACCCCAAGAACACGTCCCCCAGTCGCTATAACATTCCCCTCTGAATCAAGATCCGTTCCTGCATGGAAAACCTTCACTCCAGGAGCTACCGTTTCAGCTTCTTCAAGGTTTCTGATGATTGATCCTTTCTCATAAGCACCGGGATAACCATTGCTTGCCATTACAACCACCATTGCTGAATCTTTTGACCAATCAAGTGACACGCCGCTTAGCTCACCTTTACAAGCCGCTAGCAAGACTTTTGCTAGGTCAGACTCTAGACGCATCATCAGTACCTGTGTTAAAACAAGGAGCTGCATTGTTTAGAACTACAATCAAACCGAGATTAAACCGGGGTTTTTTGAGAAAAAGGTGTGTTCCTCACCTGACATTCCGGATCTCCAAACCGTACATTGAACTCAATCAGCTTAGGCAAACCGGATTTCTTCTCGATCATGAGACCCGCAAACAGAACGCCGACAAACTTGCATCCTTCTTCTGCCATTCCTTTAACAGTGGGATGAATTATAGACTCCATCACAAAATCCTGAAGCTCCCTGGTCAAGACCGGTGCAGGAGAATAAGCTCCCATTCCGCCTGTGTTAGGACCGGTATCTCCATCTCCAACCCGCTTGTGGTCCTGAGCAGATTCTAGAGGAATGGCGTTTTCTCCATCCACAAGTGCGAAAAAGGAGGCTTCTTCTCCCTCGAGAAACTCCTCCACGACTACCTGACATCCTGCAGAACCAAACACGCCTTTGACCAGCATCGAATCAACAGCTTCAAAAGCCTCCTCTAGTTCCATGGCAACAGTGACTCCTTTTCCAGCTGCTAATCCATCCGCTTTAATCACAATCGGAGCCCCTTGTTCTTGAATGTATTCTTTCGCAGCAGATGCATCAGAAAATGTTTTATACTGCATTTGCATTCGATTCAATAATACTGTATTAGCCATCAAATAGGAATCCTTAGGATAAGATCAAAGCAACTATTCATGACTGCTTTTATTCCACCAATTTACCGAGCCCTCAACCACATTGCCAACCAAACCATAGTACACCCCAAACAATCTGCTGAGACATTCTTATAAACCTAGCCCTCACTAACTGCTCTCTAACCAACTCACAGCAGCTCTAACCTGCTACATTAAGTACTAGGGTAGATTGCAGCAGGCCTATTAGCTAATAGTTGAACGCGTCAAAGATTATAATCTTTACAAAGCGACTTTATGGATCCTAAAACATCCAGGGGTAATCATCAAAGAGATAGCGAGGCATACCTTAGCAGTAGGGATATTGTACTTGAGGCAAAGATTCTTCATAAAGTTCTTGGAACCTTCCAAAGCAGCAGCTTGAGAAGTAGGGCCAAAGGTGAGGATACCGGCCTTAACGAGGTCATTAGCGAGACCCGCAACAAGAGGCACTTCAGGGCCAATAACCACTAAACCGACATTCCATTTTTGACAGAAAGAGATGACAGCTAAACTGTCTGATATGTCAAGGTCAGGTACACAAGTGGCATCTCCGGAACTTGATATACCGGCGTTTCCAGGTGCGCATAACACAGAATCACAAGATGGAGATCGTTTCAAGGCGTAGCAAAGGGCGTGTTCTCTCCCTCCTCCACCAATAACAAGAACATTCACTCTCTCTTCTGCAGAAATCGAAAACGAAAATACTACATAATCACTGGCGTTTAAATTCGATACCTTTGCAGTCAAATTCAACAACTAAATATAGTATGAACCAAATTTGTTAATTCATCAATGTGAGCAAAAGGGTATTTACCAGAGCCGCCGTTACCGACCGAAAGAGACTGCTCAGATTCTTCTGAAACGCATCGGAGCAAAAAATGGCGTCTTTGGAATCGGTTCGAAGAGAAACGAGAGCTAAGGCCGTGATTGGTGGTAGAGAATTTGAGAGGAGCAACAAAGGGAAGAGAATTGGAGGTGGCGAATCTGAGGGAGAGAAGAAAGGGTTTAGTGGGGTTGTTGGAGAAGAGATTGATAGAAGAAGAAGATGAAGGATAGAAATTAGATGCACACAACGACGACATGTCGCAAGTTTGCGAAAAAGAGGCAAGAGAGACTGTCAAAGTAGCGGAGTTGAGAGTTTGGACTCGGACCAGCGTCGTCGACAAGGGTTTAAAGTTCTGTTTTTTTGGTTTACTTTTTTCTTTTTTAGTTAAAGACCAAATCAAATCATAATGGCTTTGTCAGATATTCATTCATTCATAGCCATGTTCAAAAAATCGCTAGGCGTTAGTCGGCGGTGAGGGTGGGCCTAACGCATAGCAAAAAAATCGGAGATTAAACGGAGATTAATCGGGTACTAGTTTTAAGGTTATTTAATATTTTAAAAATATATTAATCCATTATAAATAAGAAATTTATATAATATATTTTTTAAAATTACATTAAACACATGAAAACAAGAATTTAAGGTCAAAGTTATGATTTTTATACAAATTATGAATATAAGTGGGACGTTTTGAATTTTAGATCCAAGAAAAAAATGTAAGCAAAAAAAAATTTGGCTAGACGCCGTATAGGCGGACAAAAATCAGATCACCAATTTGGACAAAATCGCCGCGGTCCCCACCCGATTAGCGCCTAGGGGCCCATTTTTAGAACAGGGATTCATAGTAATCATATGATTAATTTTGTTGTCTATTCTTATTTGTAGACGCATCCTGCTTGTCTTGAGCCCAAAAATAAAAGTATTGGAGCCGGTCCTGCATTGCTCACCCACGCAGGATTGTAGAGAGTTAATTTAGACGGAATCGTATAGTTTTAGTAATGTTTACCCTAAAATTTTTCATTTTTTTTCTTGTAATATTGTCAATCTCCGGTAGACAACAAGCAGCTAGCTTCTCTGCCTTTAAAATGATACTACTTTGGTTCATTTTCTTTGCAAATCAGTTCATGCTCCGCTCACCAAAATCTTTAGGTTATGTCTTTTGATTATGAAATGGTTTTATTTTATGTTATCATAAACAAAAAAGTTAATCCTTCAAAATCACCCAATAAATAGGTGTGAATTTGTCCTTTCTATTTCTTCTTTAAAATCTTCAGACAGCAATCAGACAGAGCCTCTCAACCTCATTTACATGCTTTAAAACAAATCCATTTTGCACATAGAAAGGGTTATATGGTAGCCGTGAAACAAACAAGTGGCTTATAACCAGCAAACCTCAAGTACTGTTTGTATTCATGTATCCTCATCTCCATATAACCAACCAAACAAAAAATAAAGAAAAAGAACTCACCAAAAACAAAAGCCAAGAGGGCGAAAATGCCTTCTTGGCTGCTCCAAAATATTGATATCAAGAGAGCGTCTTATGAATGCAAAGCCATGAAGAGGTTCTGCTTACGGGCATGCTCTGGGACAAGCCTGTTCACGATTTCAGGAGGTATGCCAGATAGCTCTGCAACACACATAACCTCAGTTCATGATTTTGAAAATTACTGAAAGTTAAGGATGACAGATACATGTCTATGAAGAACAAAGCGTTTATTGTTGCTTAGCATTCAAATATTTCAAAGGCCACAATGGTGTCCATACTTGTGACTCTAATTTATTAAGCATTCCTCATTATTCATAGATCATCTACTAACATTGAAGGAGGTTTTGAGGTTTATACTTATTAGCAATCATGAGCAAAACACAACATGTCAACAACTTAATAGAGCATATCTATGATAGATCTCTTAAGAAGTCCAACAAGAAAAAAAAAAAAAAAAAAAGGCAACTGTACCTTGCGGTTTAAAGTTGAAAAGTGGAGGAAGTGGTCGGCCATTGGGAAGACGAGTGTTCGGGTCCCTTAGCTCATCAAATAACGGATGAATACAAGCTTCCAACTACAATAACACCACAAGTGTTTTGTAATGGGTTTAGATCCTTAGATGCTGATATGGAACAATAGAAAAGTAAATTACACAATGAAGGTTAAGTATGAATTAACTTACAGCTGTACATCTTAAATTAGGGGAGTACTGGAAGAACCTACAAAGAAGATCAACTGCTTCTGGCGGCAAACGTTTTTGGAACACCTGAGCACAAATAGAAGATTCATGCAGTAATAAGGATTCAGAGAGAAGCGAAGCTCAAAGAGGTAATACTCACTGAAGCCAATTAAACCTTTTTTACTATGGGTAAATAAAAAATCCTATATAGTTTAACGCAAAGTGCTAACCACCAAGTTGTAGAATGTCAGAGAACAAAATCCTGAAAACCACTTTCCACCAGAGAGAAATACTCAAACTAGAACTAAAGCCACAATCATTTAGCCAATCGATTTCAAATCTACCATAGATAGTTTCATAAGCACGAGGAAATGACAACATAAATTTAATTTTTGATACATACTATTGAATGATTCATACTCCAAACCATCACAAATACCAGAACGCCTCTTTGAAATATTGCATTCACCAACAAAACCACTGTTTAAAGAATATTCTTGTAGGTGATAATCAATAACATTAGAAGGTATACCTTGTGCCATGGATGAGGTTTTATCTGGGGAAACTTAAATTCTGTATAGTTTGGATTCATGCACTTGATTTCTTCCCTTGTTGGTGTACCTAAAACCTGCATGACATATAAAAGCACATGAAATAAGAAAAACAAGGTTTCCTCGAAATCAGACTGAGCAGTCCAAAGGTTATTATTGCTTTCTTTAATACTGAATACGAACTCAACAATAGACGTAACAAATTGTGACGGGGAAGCCTAATAGTCATTGACAGATATAGTTGACAATCTGCACCAGTCTGCTACGTAAAGATAGATGATTAGCCCATAAACAAAAGCTCTAAAAGCACTTATCAGGGCTTGAATTGCTTCATAATTTTTACATAAACTTAAAGAATTAATAAAAGGCTACCTTAATGATTTCAACAAGCTGATCAACTCCGCTCTCACCAGGAAACAGAGGCTGTATGGCAAATTAGCAAGGCAGAAAAAAGTAAGACAAGGAATAAACTGAATGAATAGCCAAAACATATAGGAATGTCGCTAATGCAAAAGTCATGCTTAAACCTGTCCAAGAAGTAGTTCGGCCATCACACAACCAGTGGACCATATATCAATTGCAGTTGAGTATTCACTGGCACCAAAAATAAGTTCTGGAGCACGATAGTATCTTGAACAGATGTAAGAAACATTGGGTTCTCCTTTTACCTACAGAGAACGAGACCACGTCATATTCCAAGAATGAATTCGTGAAAAACTGTGTCAGTAAAACTTACCAACACTTTTGCACTCCCGAAATCACATATTTTTAGCTGATGCGTGTGTGGGTTCACCTGCACGACACCATCTGTAAAGTCAGATATATATGCATTTAAATTAAAACCGAACAACCTAACTAGGTACAAATAAGTTGAGCGCAGACATGGTACTCTAAAAACCCAGCTCAAAACTACACCTATTTTCTCAAAGTTAGTTCAGAATCCTATTTTAAAAACTAGCTTTCTCAATAATATAAACTCGAAAAGAGAAGCCTAGTTCCACTGTGAAGATCGTAAATGAAATTAACTGTATTAAGAGCCGCATAGCTACATCTCCAGGCATGTTATAAACATACATCATGTCAGACTCTAAACCTAGCATGACACCATTAATGTAAATAATATGCGTGTCTTTACATCTCCTACTCATAGAGGCAAAGGACTATAAAACTAAAATACAATTCAAACAAAAATACGTTTTAGCAAAAAAACAAAGGTCATCTGTTGCAGGGAGACACAAATGAACTTACCAGCAGGTTTTGAGGCTTAATATCACGGTGACAAAGACCAAAGGAATTATGGATGTAAGCAAGCGCCCTGCAAATCTGTAACCATTAACAAAAACTTATAAAAAATGTTTGAAGAATACCCAGCGAATTATCAGTCTGGCATGCAGATACAAATTTCATGAAACAAAACCTACGAAAAAGAATAAAAAGTTCAAATTTAGGAATTACTTACCTGATAGGTGTAGAGTTTAACGTATATCAGTGGCATCAGCTGATTCGTCCTACTGTAACTTCTTGCAACACGATTGACGGTCTCAGGCACAAACTCAAGGACAAGATTCAAATAAACCTCTTCATTGTCTGTTCTTGAGAAGAAGCTATGCTTTAAAGCAACGACATTGGGGTGGTCTAGCATCTGCATGATTTGTAGCTCTCTGTTCTTGTACCGCTTGTCTTGTAGAACCTTCTTGATAGCAACAACCTCCCCAGTCTCCCTACATTTAGCCTACCAGAAGGAAACATAAATGTGCGGGAAATGGAGCCAAACCAATAGATCATGGATGTTAAATTCACTTACTTGGAAAACCATGCCAAAGGAACCAGTACCGACAACATGTTCTGATATGTAGCTAACTGTCTGCCAATCCAAATAAATATCTGTATGAGAAACAGTTATATAACTACATAACCAATTTACACATACAACTATCCATAACCATCCAACCTGTCTTGATTGACCATTTCGACCACGGAGTGTGGTTCGAATCACATGACCAGGTTCAGCACCAGCCCCATCAATAATATCTGGTTCACTATCCTGCAACTTAAAAAAACCTCCAGACTCTGTAAACTACTCCATAACATATATAAGCTCGTGATAAAAGAAGTCAAGCTAAAAAAAACAGTTGAATAAACATGAAAAAGAAAAAGAAGCAATGCAAGACTTACTCTCTCATCATCGGTCTCGACCTTGTCCCTTATCCTCGTCTCAGCCAAATCTCTCGTCAACCAATCGACTGAACTAGAAGAGCTCTTTAAACCTTTGGCAGATCTCGAAGTGCCTACTCCATTTCCCAGTCCAGAAGATGCCATAATACTTATTCTGAAGATAACAGGTACTAGTATTTGATAGCATCATAACACATGATGATTTGGTGTCCCATCCCATCAAAGAGCCGATCTTCCTAGTAGAATTTTTAAAAGCCATTTGCATTAAATAAAGGTGTAGTATTATATCTCAAAGATTTTGATCATTAGAAAAATCATGAAATTATACAAAAAAAAAAAAGTAGTCAATTCAAACTTCTGTACGCACTGATGAACTTTGAACAAGTGGTGAACTGATAACAGTGTAAAACTAAGCCCAATTGAGACCGATCAGATCTACTGCCGACTAAAATTGAGTTGAAATCGACAAGGTTTGGTTTGAAAAATCAAA